TATCAGTTTCAGGCCAAGCAAGCACATTTCCGCACTCCATAATTTTTTTATAACCCTTTTTGGGCAGAAAGTTCTCAGGACAGCTGCTTATCTCACTTTAATTTTTACTGCATTTTGTGCCAAGTGTTTAGTAACTTTGCCATAGAAGCCATTCATTATTTCCAGGCAAGAGGTATGTATGTCAAAAACTGAAACTATACATGGGTTAGATTAGGTTATTTAATTATGGCAAAGCCTCGAGGGCTATCTGCCTAAGGGGAGTGATGCCTTCGTGGAGAACTTTCTCTAAGGGAAACTGGCTCGTATACGCGTTACACATGGGAAAAACCACGGAAATACCCATGCGGCCAACCCGTTCCCGGGATTCGAAGCCCGGACCGAAGTACCAGTGTTCAGCGATTTTACCGCTTGGCCGTTGTTGGACTGAAACTATACATGATGAAAAAGATACAATGGAAACGCAGCATCAACAAAACTACTGATAAAGTATTAGAATGAGAATAGGGAATAGATTGAAGTGAAGTTGGTTGCTGTCTTATTTTAGCAGAGTTCATATGCAGGCATATGCAGCTGTAGAGAATAAGAGTGTGATGACAATTTTGAATTCAGTTGCCAAACATCACCTGTCAGAATTCAAAAGCTTTATCAGTCTGTTCATTTCAAAAATATATTTCACCAAAAGACACTAGCTGATTGTTGGAATGTTGTGGCTAATAAATACTGTTGAGTTTTGTTTCATTTGATAAAAATTTGTTGGCTTGTGATCATGCAATTCTAAATCCTATTCTAAAGCACATAAGTTAAGTCCAGGGAGGAGGGAAGTAAAGGAATTAAGAATTTTGACATTGTCTGTGATCTTGTTAAAGCACATTGAATGAATATGTTTAGAAATTTTAATGATCCTTTACATAAATAAAAATGCAATTGACCTAGTAAGTAGAGTTTATGTGAAAGAGTTACATAGAAAAAGAGTAATTTATATGCATTAATACAGTCATTGCTGCTTAGTATTATCATATTAGCTCTAGTACTTAAAATCTTATATTTATATCAAAAGAGATATAAATCAGCTTTCACATTTGAACATCTGCAAGTTAGGGAATGACATTTTTATTTTTTGGTCCTTGAATGGTATATTTGGCATTTTTTACTAACAGTTTTTTGGTACTTGCATGTTATTGCAATCACCTCAGAAATTGTCATGTTTTCAAAATGGGCCAATATCTGGCAACCATTTGTGTAACAGTCCTTTCGTCAAGCAACAATGCCATTTTTGTATGCATTCTTTTTGCTGTATTCCAAGTTCCAATGGATTTTAGAAACGAATCGTGATTTATTTTGGCCTTAAATTTAATTTTAAAATTTGCCCTTGTGGAATTTGCCAGTAGTGAAAGAAACTGTGATAAAATTTCTTCAGGAATACAAAATTATGTCTCAAATCTCTAAAATGAATGATGAGGAAATAGATGAATTTGCTAGATAGCCACTGTTGACAAGGTTTGTACGATGCCAAGTCTGTGGAATTCTTTGACGTTTTTTAAGTAAATATAGATCTCTGTGTACTTGGAGAAATAATATTGCAAAAAAATTACAGAAACATTTGAAGATAAATATGTTTTATTTTTTTATGTATCACATAATCTGTATTTAGTAATTAAAACTTGTAATTTAAATTGCTAAAATATGTGACTTTTCACATGTTGATAATGTTTGTTAACTTTGATGTTTGCTAACTTCGTTTGAAAAATGATAATGTTTAGTAAATATGGATAGTTTGAAAATCTTAAAAAAATTTGCGAAGACCTCCAACTTGAACTTGATAAATAACTTTAGCCTTATCTGTAAAAAATTGCACCAAATTGGGCCAGGGTAATTGCATTAACTCTCTTAGTGGCTCAAGTTTTGGGATCTGTCAATGAAGACCTATATTTAAAAAGACTTAATTAGCTAAATTTGTATATTTACTTACTTTAGGCTCTATTTTCATGAACTTACTTTATTAAGACGACATTTATATTACAGTCAAAAGTCGTTAATCCGGACTCGTCGGGACTTCGGCGATTCCGGATTATCGATTTTTCCGGATTATAGATCATCAGTTTAAATCTCGTAAGATGGCATGCAGAAATTCTAAAATTAAAAATATGAAACCGTAATTTATGAAATAAAGAACAATTATGATCTAAAGGGTATCAAAATTTACAAAAAAAAAAAAAGCTTAATATTTATTTGTTTACTTTATTAAGCATTTCTTTCAATGTAAATTGTTTAAGTTGCTTCGTTATGTGATAATACTTTCTCTTTAATTCTATAAACAGACATAATTTCTTGTTCAGTTACAAAGTTCGGCTGTTCAAGTCCCGTAATTGCTGTGCTGAGAATACCGACTAACTTGTCAATTGAAATTTTTTCGTTTTCACTAACCTCTCTGTCACCTTCTTCATGTCTTTATCCATTTTTTGCAGCAATTCCACTTTTGTTTGACGGACATTGAAACATACTTTCGTTTTGTAGATCCTTTGGGAGCTCCAGCATCGGAAATTCTATTTGACATAATCGAAAGTTCAAGTTTACTTTTATAAAATTGTTCTTACAGTCTGCAAAAAATAATAAGCGCATCCAATTCGAAGATTAAGGAACAACACAATCATCAACATTAATTGAAATAGATAATTAGATAATTTTTGCTTATACCGTCCGTTATACATTAAACGCGCATGCGAAAACGTATTCTGCGCTTGTGCACACGCATATGCACAGTCATAAAGATCTTATGCGCACGTGTAAACGCCTTTGTGCATGTGTCAACGTGGCGCATGCGCAGAAAGTTTTTAGCTTTGAGGTACGGATTATAGATCATTCCGGATTATGGGTGTCCGAATTAACGACTTTTGACTGTATTACAGAAAGTAAGAAAGCAGTACATCATAAATAATAAGCTAATATATACCAAGTGACAAAAAATGTCATGACCGGATAAAGCCGGCCATGGCGCTCAAAGGGCTATGTAAGTATCCTGTATGAGTTTATTACGCATGAGTTTTCCAGTAGACTTTACCGATACATAAATTACTTCACTGCTTTTTACCAGATGCTTGTTGTAAATGTAGTTTCATTCTTTTTTGACTGTACAAAAACTTATTTATGAGAGTTAGATATTTTTTTATAATATTTTCTAGGGTTTTTATTAATTTCCCTTTTGACTATACTTTTTGCATTATTTCAAATTAAATACTCTTTTTTTAAAAAAAATTTTGCTTTTGTTTACTATACAAATTTTAAACAAAATTATTGTTGGACAAATTTTACAAATCTATCCCTATATCCTCATGGTATCTTTTTTTCCTCTCTTTTTTTAGTGTCTTGTAGTATCAAATTTGTTAAGATTTTTTTTTCCAGTTTTCTAAAATGTATTGTGAATAACCTTTTTTGCAGTAGATTATAACTTTGAGAAAGATAGCTATTTCGAAGAATATTAAGCATATGTTTGAATTGAGAACTGCTGTCATTAAAGTTTTTCAAATTTTTTGATTAGTTGCATTTTAAATTATAAATTTTCATGTTTCTATGCATTTTTTGGGAAGAAAGAGCAATTGTGTTTATATGCATTTTCTGTTCTGTTACTAAAACAAAAATGTCTTTATTATAGAAAAACATTTCTATAAACAGACTACATTTCTCTATTTTCACATTCTGAAGGATGCACTAGCATGCATACATTCTTTTGCTAATAAACTGGTTTGATATTTTATGTCCATAAATTTAATTTCTAGAATGTTATTACATAATTGCCTACTGATTGTTTGGAATTTAAATTCAGTTATTTTTAATGCTTGTAGTTTTCTTGTTAAAAAGTTTTTTTAAAAAAATCTAAAGCATCTCAAAATATTTGTTTATGATAAACAATGTGTTTATCATAAACAAATATAATATAACCATGATAAACCCCTCTGAATCAATAGTTTGAAAATCGCATCTAATAAAATTTTAATTGAAATAAAGTATTATGTAAAAGCTGAAAAATGGTCAAGTTAAATAATAGGGTACTTATGTATTATCCAGTCGACCATAAAAGTTGTTTGCGATCGAACCATGAAATTTTTTTTGGAGATCTTGCCAAAGTAGCAAAGTCTGAAGAGGAAGTTGTCTGTGAAATTCTGAGGGAATTGATGATGCTTTATTTAATAAACAATCAGTATTTCACCTGCTTCATTTTTGCACTTTGTAAAAAGGCTTTTGTGGATTTTTGCCATTTGTAAGGCTGCCTAATTTTACCTGAAGTTCTGTTTAGAATGCTATGAGTACAAACTTCCTACATGTATCAGCTTTTCTATCGGCCATATTCAGCTGACCAGTATTTATATATATATATATATATATATATTATGGTAAGATCCAATAACTTTGGAAATAATTCACTACTTGCTGTTCTGTAGAAGGTAGATTCCGAAAAATTTTTTTTTAATGCAAGAAAAAGTACAGAAATAACTATTAATGTATATCCTTGTTCATAAAAACAAAACTTGGCTCACTAGGAATCAGTCGGGGTTGGATTTACAGATAGATGCATGCTGATTGATGCACAGATGTTAAGTCATGCTCATCCATAAGTAGTGCTAAATCACATTGCTTGGCAACAGTTTTATGATTGATAAGATAATATGTAAGTATCAATATTTTTTATAAATGTTCCTGACTGGAAAAATTGACAATGAATAGTTAATTTTGAGATTCCTCTGCTATTTCATCAGTTTAAAAAAAAATTCAAACTTTTATTTAAATTATTTCTGCAGTTATATATTTTTTATGGATATTGTGTTTTTGAATAAGTTTAGATTACTTTAAATTTCTTTTTTATGTTTACATGTAATATTAAAATGCATAGTCTGTCATGTATCTGTATATACCTTTGACAATAAATCACATTATAAATATGAATTATAACTAAAAAATTTTCAAGTATGGTTTCTATAAAATATTTATGCTTTTCACTCTTTTAGGTGGTTTTAAAGTGTGGGAATGTGCTTTTGATCTGGCTAATTACCTTGCAGTAAATAATTGTATTAAAGCTAATGATGCTGTATTAGAGGTCTGTATATTTCTTATTTAATATTTTTTACTGTTAAAATATGATAAATTTTTCTTTTTGTTTTTGTGTAATGTACAGTTATGTCTGTATGTGCAATTAATCAAGCTCATGAAAAGATTTTTTGGTTAGCCTATATTTAAGGGTGCCCCTTCGATTCACCAAGTTGTGTTTTATTTATGGTAACCTGAGTAGTTATCACAAAATTAATGTTTTGAAGGTATAATTTATTTGTATGTGAATGGTAAAACATTGGTTGTGTAAGAATTAATTTTGTTTATCATAAAAAATACGAAATTAAGTCAAATCTTGCTATCATCTGGTGCTTTTTCATTCTTCATATATATAGCAACAGCATTAAAATGTGCCAGTCCAACTACTCAAGAACAGTCATATCTTTTACACCCATTTTAACTGCATCTGTGTCAAGAAATAAAAGAATGTATTTAACTGGTTATGGTTGCTGCTAGATCTCTAGACTGATACATACATTCATCCATCAAAAAAAAAAAAAAATTATTATTTCAACATCAACATCTAAAATCATTTCATAGGTATTTAATGAAACTTTTAAATTTTTGCTTTAAAATTAAATGTTTTATTCTTGTTTTAGTTAGGTTGTGGTGCAGGTTTACCTGGAATTGTGTCTTACATTTGTGGTGCATCTGTAGCTTTCCAAGATTTAGTAAGTTCCAGTTATTTATTTTTTACCTTTTGTACTGAGTAGTATTTATTTTGTACCGAGTTTTGTACTTTTACTTCCATTAACATCTGTTTAAGGAAAAAAAAAACTAAAACATTTTTTTCCTTTTTATAATGGTATAATAGTTTTTAAATATATATGCATTTAAAATTTTATTTTTGGAAAGAATAATGCCACCTATGACTAATTTAAGTTTTAAAAATAAATTTAGCATAATTTATGTATTTAATTTTCACTGTGAGTAATGTTGCAAGCTATAGCTTCGTGGATATCTCTTTAAATACTCACTCCATATGAGCAGGAAGAATGATTATTTATTGTAATTCATAATGTCACACAGCAAAATAAGTAGCTCATATATAATGCTGCCCCCCCACTTTTTATCATGCGATTTATCTTTAATTGATTTAGTTTCATTTTTACTGAAAAGTTAAATAAAAAATAGATAGAAAGATAGATAGAAATGCTCCAGATGTCCCTGGGCAACAAAATTGGTAAAAATATAATTTTTAAAGCTTTAGGAGCAAAGTTCCTTGAAGCTACCAGAAGCCTATGCAATTTCTCTTATATATGGCCCCAGCAGCCATTGTGAATTAGTTTTAATTGGGTCTGATTCAGTTTTGAATACTTCAGAAAACTGTTTTAGCAAGCATTGTCTGAATTGTGTTTTAAAGTTTACTCTGTAAGTGATATCAGTGTAGGATATTTCTTGTCTGCTAAGGAGACTTTGCCTTATATCCACATTCTACTTGAGTTATTTACAGCTGTTTATTTTGTTGTGTGTCGATACTAATTACAAAAAATTGCAGTATCTCTCAATCTATAGCTATTAACTAGACATTCATGAAGCTATAGCTTGCAACTGTAAGATACTTTTGAATTTAAAATTCTGTAATTTCCTATTCTTCACAATTTGCATTCGTCACTGTAAAAATTGTGAGGAATATCTTAATGGCTAAAGCTATGAAATATTAATAGTCTCATCTAAGGTTTAGTTCTTGATAAAATGAGTTGAATGTATGGATATTTCTTTCATTTTTGCTTTTCATAATGTAAGTAGTCATTTCGTCATTTCCTGTAAAATATTCTTTGTCAGACCACATCTCTAAACCAAGCTTTAATGGCTTTTGAGTACTTTCCCGCAGTGGATTAACTGATAGGCATTTTATGTAAAATGTTCATCACCATGTCACTGATCCAAATGAAGCTTAATGGCCTTTGAATACTTTGTTATAATGATTTAACTGATGCCTGATTGCCACATGTTCTAAATGTTCTGCCACAGTTGTAATTTCTTAATATCACAGTGCATTGATTGCATTAAGATTCTGTGAATAATTGTACATGATTATTCACAGTACTTACTTCAAATATGTCTTAGCATAATATAATTATGCTGTAGCATAAGAGTAGTTGTATATGCAGTATTAAAAGTAAAGTTTTAAAGATTAATTTTAAAGTAAAAATTTTTAGATCATCACATAATTGTTTTTTAAATTTTTCAGTTAAAAATTTTTGCTTTTTAAAAATTTCTTATTATAGTTTTGAAAGTTCAACAAGTGTAATAAGTAATTTAAACTTAGAAATTGTGACAAATATTGCACCTTTTAAAATATAATGTTTAAAGTACCATTGAAAAAAAAAAAAATATTTTAGAAGACAGTGCTGTAAGTTAAACAGGTATTGCCTTCAAAATCTATTTGATCTAAATGTCAGATTTAAACATTAAGCTCAATATTCCTGTAAGTAGAGAATGAGTAGGTGCATTGTAATCTTTTTGATGCTTTGGTGCCAAGTGCTAAGCTTTAAATTTCAATAATATATGAAAAAGTTTTAGAAAACATGAATAAAAGTCATAAAAGTGATGTACTAACATATTCTTACCAAAATAAAAATTATTAAAAATTTACAAAAATTGAAAATAATCCTGATCATTTGCCATTGCTAGTACCTCAAGATCAGGATTCCATTTGATAATCTTCAGATTCCCTATTATGTAAATAATCATAATGTCTTTTTAACATATTGGAAATGCTGCATACTCAAGTTAATGAAATGATTTTAGAATACTACCAGCTTTAATTTCTTCTCGTGCTTTAATTATAAAGCTGCATAGAATATCAAGGGGGTAGCTCACATGTTTCATTTCAGAGTAAGAGTCTCCCCCCTTTTTATCATGCAATTTACCTTTAATTGATTTAGTTTTATTTTTACTGAAAAGTTAAATTAGAAAAGTTAGCCCTCATAGAGCAGAGGCTAAATTGGTGTTGTTATTGGTGTAACCCTTAATTTATTTCATCCATTATATGTAATTTGAATAATAATCTCTCCTTGAATGCCATACAGACAGAATTTTCGTGCATTAATAATTTTATGCTATTTTCATCCATCTATCTCTTAGAATGAATCTCAACAAAATTTCTGTTGGGAGATATGATATTTAATGGCACTACTTTTTTAAAAATGACATGGTCGTTTTTTAAAAAATAAGTATGCCATCTTTCATGCGTATGTGCACTGCAGTAAACCCATACTTTTCTTGTCTAATTGTTTTCATGAGGACAGTGTGAATGTTATTTACTATGTGGTTTCCAGGCCTTTACAGTGTGATTGAGGAGGTTTCATCCTTATTACTGAATACATTTCATCCATATTCCAATTTTAGCAAAAATTATAAATTTGCCACCTCTTTATTTCAAATTTTTGAAGTTCAGTTATTTTTAATTGAATGATTTCAGTAATAATTTAGTTCTTGCATGTGATACAATCTCTTTCCTATCCATAAATTAAATACACCAACTGACAGTGCCCTTAAAAGATTTCACATATGAATTAGACTTAACCCATCTAATAGGATAAATAAACATTGCATTGCAAATGACAGTATATCCATTTTGTTGTTTTTTTTCATCTATTTTCCCACTTAATATTCTAGTTGTCGCTAATAACATTTTCTTATTCTTAGGTGCATTTAGCTTTTGGCATGCTTTCTAAAGCATCTTTTTCTACTTCCATTTTCAAATAAGTTTCTCTGTTTATTCCAAATTTTCTAGGTGTTTCATAGTTATTTATTGAGAAGGCATGTCTTACTATTTTTAACTTAAAAATGTGCTTTATATTCCATTCTTTTAAAAGGGGTCATTTTTATTACTTTGCATCTTGGGGGGGGATAAGTAACAATAGTTATTCTCTTTCCTTAGCGATTGCATATCTTTATTCTCATCAACAGTTTCTAAGTGATGCCATATTCTGTACATCCTTCAGGTAGAAGTGTTCAAAAGCAAATGGGAAAAAATCTTGCTCCTCTGTTTAGGTTTTATACATGTTTCAAATTATTTTAATAAAGAAATGCATTAAGAGATAGAAACTGGTTTGTCACTCATAATGTTTCATAGAATCTTACCTCTTGTGCATTTATAATTGAAAGAGAATTTGTTTTTTTCTCTTTTCATTTAGACATTTTGTATGTGTGTAGGTTTATTTATTTGCTAATTTTCTGAAAAAAAACTTGTAAATTTTAAGATATGTACAATTTTTTGGTTAGTCTATATTTTAAGGTATCCCTTAGACTATCACCAAGTGGTTGTTTCATTTATTCTAACCTGAGTAGTTGAATGTTATCAAAATCCTGTTATGACATGATTGGTTATAAATCCGTGATTGCAGTGATTTTAACTGTTGGGAAAATATTTTTAAGGGCTTATTTATGTGTTGGATATTGGTTAAGAAGTATGTTGCTCATTTTGTGCTTTAAGCCATAAAATACCTGCTGGTGGTGCGATTAACCTGAAGTTTCTGTACACTTTAGAACAAATGGGAAAGAAAATAATGATTGAGTGGTGTGTAAATGAAGATTTAAATGGCTTTGTTCATCTCTCCATAAATTACGCAGTGAGATTTAAGGATTTGAAAACTGCAGCTCATATCAACACTGTGGAAGTTATGTGGGGTGTAATAAAAAGGGATTTTCGAAAGAAATGCCTCTGGCAGTACGAAGGATATTTTTCATTTTTACTTTCGTGAATTTATGTGGCAACGACAGTATACAGATTCTAGTTTAGATAATTTTAAATAGGTTTTAAATGCTGTTAAGGAATTCCGTGTTTCAGAAATGTTTAAATGAGGTGAGTCGATATTTCCTTTTTGTACTGCGTATATTAGATAATATGTATTTTCATTCTTATGTTATTTCCTTGTTTGATCTAAAATGCAGTTTTTTGAGTTTATAAATTTTTTGTTTTAATTATGTTTTATTGCATTATGTTTTGGATGCCATTTTACTGGCGAGGGCATTGGATGTAAACAGGAATGGCACCAAAAAATCGCCGATTTTTGTCAAGAGGTACCCTGAAATATATTTTTTACCAATTTTCCCCCCTTCATCTCTTGGATATACAAATATTAAACCGTTAATCAGTAAAAAAATCAAGTTACATGCTAAGTGTACTTAAACTATTGATTCTTGTGTTCTGTTGATTCTTTATTGTTAACTAACTATTGATTCATTAAAATCTTATGTTTCACATATATATTGCAAAAAATGTTGTAGACAATATAAAGTCATATTTTTTCACATTTAATGATTAAAATATTTGTATTTTGATATATTGTTGATAGAGCCTGCCAGATTCATGTATTTTTTCCCCACATTTGCTAGAATTCTGAAGTACTGGAACATGTTACTATTCCTAATGTAATGCTTAATACTTCAGAGGATAAATATGCCCATGTTAAACAGAAATGTGCATTTCTCAGTGGTGACTGGGAATGCATTAGGAAATGCTTTTATTCATATGCACAAGAAACAAATCTGTAAGTTGTAAATTTGTTATTTTTAAGAAAATTCTCATACTTTTGCAGCAATTTTAGCATTTCCTTATGAAAAAATATTTTTACTTTTACTAATTGGAACTGTTTTATACTTAATGCTATGCTTTTATTTTTTTCTAAAATTGTAATATGTATCAACTCAATTTTGTAGTATATATCTATTTCAAACTTTAACTGATTCTATGTATAATATCCTCATACTCAGAAATAAAATATTGTTAAAAATTATAAAATGTTACTTTGAAAAATATAGCTTATAACTATATAAATATGCATTTATGTTGACTTTAAGCATAACTGACAAAACAAATTGTAAAGTTAGCATGAAGAATTCTGAATTTCTTGCAGTGATTAATATCTACTTAATTAAGGTTTTTTCAAAATACCCTCAGCTGCATTTTAAGTCCACAAAAAGTTGTAAATATGACCCTCATAGTTTTTTGAATTGCTGGAAATTTGCATTTCCTGTTTGCTATTGAAAATGATGTCACAATCTTTACTATTTGAATAGGAGTGGCCATAAGCAAAGTAATTTATGGCTTTGGTTTCCACTCAGTGTGTTCAATTTATGGATTATTTAAAATTATATTCCTTTTCATTTCTGTTATCTGATCGGGTTACTGGCTCAACAGGAAATTGCATAGTACAAAGTATTGTAATGTCTTCAGTAAACAATTGGATATCTTTCAATAATATATAAAATTAATTATTTCCGAAGTTCATTAAAAGTTTAGGAGTAGCAAAATGATGAACTTCTGATAAAAATCAAGATTTTAGATAAAACCAGTTTGAAAGATAAAGATTTCAAATCAAAATCATTTTAATTCAAGCAGAACTTGGTAAGTCACCAAAATTCAGCTTGAATTAAAATAGTATATAGACAGTTCATAAAGCTAATATCCGGCTTTATGTAAAATGAAGCAGAATTTTTGAGTAAAATGAAGCGGAAGTTTTTAGGGAAAGTTATGTTTAATTTTACATATTTCTCCAAGTATTTTTGGAAATATGTCTAAAATAATAATTATTTTAAGATGGTATACAAATTTTTGTATGTTATAATTAAAAAATTTTTACGAACGTATAAAATTAAAAAAATAAACGAGGAAACTTATTTGAACTTTCCATGGATGAAGTCCAAATTTTAGATTATGCAAAAAAATAAATAAATAATAATATTTAGATACTTTCAGATAAGAATGAAATTCAGTTAACATTCTAGAACTAAAATTTTTAATTGTCTTAACCTTTCTGGCATACTACCTTTTAAAGTTGAAACTTCGATAAAAAAAAAGTAGGCAGTCTAATTAGGCCTAGAGGAATATACAAGTAAAATTTTGTGAAGATAGCACTTATCGTTTTAATTCTGTGAGTGTGCCTGCATTGAATAGAGCTTCAAAAAGAGTGCTGAAACGAGCATTGCTGGGAAGCGTGTAAAAGAGTAAGAGATTTTGCCTATAATTAAAACACTAGATTCTGAATACCGTAGAAAATTTAGCATTACCTAGGATGTGCCGCGGGAAGACCTGCTACTCTACACCCCCTAAAAGGCTCTTTTTTGGTTATATGATGATTACATGCATACGCATGTGTGGGGGGAAAAAAGGTAACTTGGGTATATGATATTTACATTATTTACATTTCATATTTACACACAAGTCTATTTTTTTCATGGTGGTATTTTTCAAAGAAAGTGACACCTATGAAAAAGCACAACCCAGTATTGTATGTTTTGCACATGTACAAGGATCCATATCAGATTCACTATCTGAAGCAATTCGTGTATCACTTTCAGTGCTTCAGAAATGGTCAGCCTTCTCCGATCCATTTGGAAAATAATTAACAATCCGAAAAAAAATAAACTTATATTATATCTACAGTTATAAATTATAGACTGTAAAATAAAAATAAACATCTGCAACTCAAAACTACTAAACATAGTGTGAGCGAACTTTGAACAAAAGCGAAATAGAAAATTTAAAGAAAATAAAATAGAAAAAGCGAAATAGAAAAAGAGACGCTCTAGTGAAAACCAACAAGATAACTGATAAAATTCCCTTGACCTTCAGAAAATCACCCAACAATTGGTTAGTAATAACCAACGTCCCCTCCCTCCCCCTCCAAAAAAGAAGAAAGAAAAAAACAGGAAATGAAACACAGAGTGGACCCACTTTCTATTGTCAATGAACTGACCGATGAGATGCGGAGAAAGAAGAATACAGTCTCTCAGTTGTCCTAGTGTCTTGGTGTGCCCAGTTTGGGCACCCTTGGGTTTGCCATTTGATTTTAGCAAGATTTCAAGGTCAAAATTTAAAACTAATATAGAATAAGGAGATAGCATACAGACAAAAAAAAAAAAAAAAAAAAAAAGTGACATAGAAATTTTCTTTTCAAGCAATTCTTTTTATATCCTAAAAAAATCTGGAAGATTTCTTTGAAAAATGAGGGTCTTAATAAACGAAAGATGGCTAAAATATATGGACTGGTTTGTGTTGAGCTGCCATCTACTATAAATAAAGAAGGTTCAGAGTAACCTATAGTAACCTCTAAATCTTTTTTCATTCAATTTTTCTGTACATACAGAAGGAAATTTTTAAGTGTGCCCAGAACGGGTACACTGTGCCACAAAAGGTTAAAAAAAAAAGAAAGAAAATGCTTATTAAATTTTTACAAAATTGGTGCTTTGGCATAACTTGAGGCATGAATTAGAAATATGGGGGGGGGGCTAATCAGCATCCTGTTTCTGAAAATTTTAATTTTATGTGAAAACATGCATGTTTTTACAATGCTTTGTATGATTTATGTGTTTATAGCATAGCAAAAACAAATATATTTTACACAACATAAGATAATCAACCATAACATTCGTTGTTAAGTCACACATTTGAGACGTGAAGAATGTGAGTTGAATTCTGTCAATTATTCAATTAGAATACCACAGTCTTTGTGCAATCTGTGGGACGTGACCACATTTGAGATCGTGAAAGATTACATTGGGGGGGGTACAAAATTGATGAAAAATTTGTAAATAAATTTTATAAAATACAAATACATCATTAAAAAACATTTTTAAGAACAAATTTTGGTTTTTAAAATGTGAAATTATATTAAATTTGAGATATATTACTCTATTTTAAAACTGTGCTATCTATTTGAAATTGTTTTAAAATCCAGTGTGCAGCTGTCTGTTGCCATAGAAACAAGGCTTAAACCTGTTTTTCGTAGGGGTGTTTTGAATAATTGCTTTTCAGTTTGCCATCGTGGTGTACTTAATAACAAACTGCCTTTCTCTTTTCCATGGCCAACATTCACCAAAAAACTAAATAATAATAAAACATATATTTAGCAACTCTACTTGAAATATATTAGCCCTGCTACTACAACGACCACCACTGATTAGTAGACATAGTAGTGTGAGTAATTGTGGTAGACATAAAATAACATTGCATTCATTTCAAAATGATGTGCTTGTAAACAAGTGATGAGTGTTCAGATTCTAGTTACTACTAACATGGTACGTTTGGAATTTAATTATACTTTTGGTGTAAAATTTTGTATTTAACTTAGTATTTGTGTTAAATAGATTGCTTTTTAAGTTACAAATTTTAAAAGGAAACACCTGTGAAGTTTCTTAGGAAAAAATAGTGAATTTAAAATATGAGCAAAATTTTGTCACCTGGGATATTAACAAAAAGCACTTAAAGCTTTTTAGCAAGTGAGCTATCTGTAGCTAACACTGGCAAGCCATACACAATTGTTGAAGAGTTGATTGTTCCAGTAGCCCAAAATATAATAGCAATTATGTTTGAAAAAAATGGAAAGCAACATATATATATATATATAGAGAGAGAGAAAGCATTGCATAAGTTATAATTTTTACCAGTAAACAAGTGATCAGTCTGAGGTACGACAGTTGGTCACAGAATACGTGAAATGGTAGATACGTATGTTGAAGTGAACTTATAATCAGAGTACAAGAAGTTAGAGATGAATCAGAGTACAATGGAAAATTAACTTAGAGTACAAAAAGTAAATTTTTCAGTCTTCAATTGAAAGAGTCCACCGATTGCCAAAATGCTTCAGAACTAATTTGTATTGCAAAATGTGAATACAAAAATGTAGGTGTTGAAAACTTTCTTTTTTTTGCAAGGAACTACAAAGGACTACAGGAGAAAAAAATCTTTAAACTGGTAAATTTTTGCATCCCAGGAAGCAATATATCTTAGGAAAACTTGTGAGTGTGCAGTGACAGAGCTCATGCCCTGGTATGAAAACATAGTGGATTTCTAGCCCGAATCAAAGAAGCCTCTCCCTGTGTAACATGGATTAATTGTAGGATTCATAGAGAAGTGCTAGTATTGAAAAACATGCCACTGAAATTAAAGTTTGTCTGTCTTAGATATTAGTTAAAATAATAAATTTTATAAGTACATGTCTCCTGAACTCAAGAATTTTCTCAAATTTATGTGAAGCAATGGGCAGCGAACATCTTTCGAGGGGTAAGATCGTAATAAGACTATTTGGACTTCAAGACGAAGTGTTTGTGTTTTTAAAATGACAGTGCACAAAATTTTTACACCTTTTAACTTATGAAAAGTATCTATGTAGTTTAGCTTACTTAAGTGACATTTTTCTCAAATTGAAAAAGTTGAACTTCAGTCTTCAAGGAGAACAGTTAAATATACAGTCATACCTTCCTGTAGGGGATACCCACTGAGCGAGACATTTTGTGCCTTAAATAGAGGTGTCCCTTTTTTATAGTGTACATACGCGTACTAAAAAAGTGTAATTTAATTAGAAATTCAGGTTGTATCAATCTTTAAATAAATGATACATAAACACATAACATAGTCACAAGTGTTTATTTTAATTTGAAATTGATAAAAAATAAAAATTCTTAATGGAGAAAGTTTAGTTATTGCAAAAATGTATGAATTGGATATTGGAGTCTTGGACTTACAGGAATTTATTGAAAATAATCCATTACACATGGCTTAGTTTGACCTGTGCATTGCAAGCACTTTTTTATCTATATGGATTTTTAAAAGCACTTAAAGCTTTTTAGCAAGTGAGCTATCGTGTAGCTAACACTGGCAAGCCATACACAATTGTTGAAGAGTTGATTGTTCCAGTAGCCCAAAATATAATAGCAATTATGTTTGGCAAAAATGGAAAGCAACATATATATATATATAGAGAGAGAGAGAGAGAGAGAGCATTGCATAAGTTACAGTTTTTACCACTCTGAAGTCACTGATAATCTTAAGTCCTTTGTTGTTACCAACGTTTATGGATTTTTTTAATTGGAAGGTGTATTTTAAGGGATCTGTTAGTTTTTTGTATCACACTTTTCTTCTGGTTCTTTGTCTTCCTCACTACTTTTCAAGTTATTCTTTTTCAAGCTCACATCATCAACTACAGTTGAAATAAAAGATTTAATTTCATTACTGTTACTTTCAGTTTACAAAATTTTATTTCTAAATATTCTTGCATTTGAATAATGCTACTGATTTGCCTAGTTCAAACAGTTCGTTTTCATCAGTAGTGTTTTGAATGAGGGCACTCGAAACTGGAATTAAATCAATGCTAAACACAATTTTGTGATATGGGTTTAAAAGCCTATGTTATCTACTGACTGGCATTCAATACATTGACACATTTTCCAAACTAATTGCTATTTCATCAAGCAGGTTGACAAAGAAAATGCTGTAAAAACAGTTTTTTTTTGTAATGAACCTTGAAGCTTCTAATAATTAGAAGAGTTAATAATAATCATAATTAATACCTTGATCCAAAGGCACTGATGTAGCATTAAGTGGAAAAAATACTAATTTCACTGATTGCAATTTTACATTTGATGAGTATGCTGGCAAATTGTCAAGAAATAGCAGGATCTTCCTATTTTTTCCTAGACATTGTTGCATCAAGAGCATTCAACAATTCTGACATTATGCATTACATCACCAGGATGCTTTGCACAAAACAGGATGCCTATGGCCCGATAAAGCTTTTGGATTGATGTGTTTGAAACAACTTTGTTTTTAGCTTTTATAGTTACAAGTAGGTGCTCAAGCTCTCTTTCCATTTTACATGAAATCTGCTCAGTGATATGTTCCTTGGAGTTTATAACAACAGATCACTTTTTTCCATTGAAGCACAGAATTTTATTATGCAAAATGTGAGGAAATAATCCAGATATGTAGGTATTTTTAGCCTCATATCCAACACAAGTTTCATGTAACGTTTTTATCCAGGCTGTTACATATCTGATATCTACTGATTTTTATTTCTCACAAAGAATCTTAGAAGTAATGTTCTGGCTTTGCTTAAATTTTCTAACCAACCATTGGATGCTTTGAAGTTCTGTAGTCCCAGGCCTTCTGAACCCCCCCCCCCCCATAATACTTCACTTCAGGAATAATACTCCACTCCAGGAATATTGTTTGCTTTTGCAGAACAGAATAACACTGCTGTATCAATTTCACATGCTTCAGTTTTTCTAAATTTTACAGTCTTAGAATGTTTATTTGAATTAGTAATCTATAATATTTTATTTCTTCTCTATCTTTTAGAACAAGACTTACTTCGTTTTTACTTATTGTAAATTTCTCCCATAAATCTTTCAAACCATGTTTTATGCTAAGCATCCTGATATTTTTTCAATTTCTGGCTATATTAATTACATGAACTTTTTGTTTTAGTATTAATCTTCTCCTCTTTGAAACCATGCTATAGATAATGTTTGTAAACGTAACAATGTTTGTAAAGTACACTTCTTTTGCTTCCCAGTCCTAATAATAACTAAGAATGCTAGAAGTTTTCACTCATCCTTGATTGTTGATCCAGTCATCTCACTGCCCTTTTTTGCCATTAGTCCATGTTGTATCCTTCCCCTTGCTGAGAACTAAAGTAAGAATAACTGTACTTTGAATTCTGTGAATGTGAAATACCCTTTTGATTGTACTACAACTTTGTATTTGCAATGTAGTGTTCCCATTTTTCTTACTGAAAAGCAGATTTCAAAAGAGAGCTATTAACTTTTCACTTCATTGTTCCCTTATCACAAAACTATCTTTTACTCAGAACAGACTTGCCTTTGAAACTTCAAAAGAGTACTAAGAAAGAGAATTTTTTTTATTTATTTCTGTATCTTATTTTTTAAACTTTTTTCAGTGTTCCTATTTGGACAAGGACCAACAGAATTATCCTTTAAATAGGGGTGTCTCTTACAGGAGGTTCTACTGTGTTTTTAGCTAATGATAGAATCAAAGCCTTTACAAAGAAAATTGATTTGTGGTGCTTATATTGCAAGGAGATTAATTTTGGAGCATTTCCCAAACTTTAGAAAGTTTTGTTATAGAAAACAAACTAAAAGTTGTTCAGTCAGTCATTAAAGCTATAACAACTCACTTGACAGAGTACTTGAGAAGTACTGATTTTTCTGCATCATCTTATATGTGCAAGAGGAGATTTTCCCAATTTCTCTATCTGAAATCTAAATACCAATACAAATTAACAGTGGAGACTTTAAGACTTAAATTGAGAAAAATAGAACCCAAAATATTACTACTAGTAAAGAAGAAACGTGCTCATAGATCTCATTCAATGTTTTCCTTTTGTAGTTTTCTTACACTGAAGCCTTTTTAGAGTTCCTTCATATTATACACCATGATCTAATTTTAATTTATAAATGATTAAGCTAGTCGATTTTTCAACTAAATATTTTGTAACTATATTGTTGATTTTGATTTTATTATAATTGCTTTGACACTAATGTTTGTTTTGTATGAAACCAAAATAAATAAATAAATAAAAAATAATTAATACTTTCCTACTTAGTGATAGTTTTTGAGTGATTAGAATTAGATTGTTTTAAATTTTGGGTTGGCATGTTAACTCGATGTTTCCAAGTAGGATAGCATTGCCAAAAAGTTTGAATACATCTAGAATAGCAGGTACAAAATTGTCTCCCTACCTCTTTTCTTTACTTTCTATAAATAGTGTGAATAATTTAATATCTTTATTTTCAAAGAATTTTTGGTGACTTTAGATGACTAAATTATTTTAATTATTTATAAAATGTTACCAACTACCATATTTTTCCAAATTGCATTTTTAGCAAATGTATTTATTGTAAGTTTGAAGTATGCCTTCTCTCACTTAGTCTTTTTATGCTGTGTAGATTTTCATATATTTAATAGATTTGCTAAGAATACAAATTTTATTATGAGTATTACTGATAAATCATTGATTATTGCTGTTTTTATGTATGGAAATTGCTATGAGTTGTATCAGGAATGATGTTCAAGTTACTTAATTTTTTATTATTCTAGGTTTGATGTTATATTGTCTTCTGAAACAATATATGAAAAAGTTAACCAAATTAAACTTTTAAATCTAATGAAAGCTGCTTTAAAAAAAGAAGGTACTGTGTATCCTTAAGAAGTGTAGAAATTAGATTTTTTAAAAATTATTATTACAGTACAAAGTCCGAGATCCGAACTCATTCGGACTTTGGCGACTCCGGATTTAGGATTTTTCCAGATATTAGATCATCAGTTTAAGGCTTGTAAGGTGGCATGTAAAAATTATAAAATTAAAAATAAGAAATCATGATATATGAAATAATGAAGTATTTATGATCCGAGTAACAAAATTTACAATAAAAGCTTAATATTTGTTTACTTTATTGTATGAGCCAAACAGTTGTCTACAATCAGGACAATTTTTGCATTATAACGAGAAACTTTTTACTCCTTTAAACGTTTTACTCCTTTACTTTCCTCGTGGTTGTGTATTTTTCCAATTACAAAACGTTTGCACTTGTGCATTCCTGCCGCACTTGCACATACTAAAATTGCTAGTCTCGCTTTGGAATCTTTGACATGAGAGACTTTTCGATAGAGGTTGCCAAGGTATTTTGTAGTACATATTGCTAGAAAAGAGCAGTTTCATCAGCTTTGTGAATTTGTTCTGGAGATAACTTGTAGCTATTAAAGAGTTCAATGACTTCGTCTGCAAGTAGGTCAGTGTCAGCTGAAGCTTTTTTATTTGAAATTCTTAACTGCATTATATCAGGTGATTTTAAAATTTGTTTAACCAATCTGTCGAATATATGAACTCAGCTTTTAAGTGCATTTCTTTATATGCTTGGCTTGAGCTATTAGCATTGGACCCATCAATGGCACGTCCTCACTGCGATGCTGTCTGACTCATTCAATTATCACTTTGTCATGATATTCACTTTTAACTTTATGTGTTTTATGTGTTTATGTGAATAAAAAATCAGTTATTCTTAATTCAAATAGCACTAAATGTAATCTTTTACCATATGAGTATCTTCAACAAAATCTATTTTTAGCATATGGAAAAGAAATTTTTGTTAAGTTTTTCCTTGTCAATATTTTAGTGCATTTAACTTAAATCTGTAATCATTGCCAAGCGTATTAATATCAACATAAAAAGTTACCATACTCTTTGTACTAATATATAAAATTGTTTAGGCGTTGCTGCATGAGTCATTACTCAAGTTGTCATGTGTTTATAAACATGTGGGGATGAAAGCAAGATATATAAAAAGATGATTCACGAGGTTGACGTCAGGGATATAGAGTAACCAGTAGGTGTGAAATCAACGATGTTTCTGTGTAAAATTTTTTTGTGTTATTCCTTGTGAGCAGGGCGTTGGAATCCACAAAATATTCAAAAAGTTCCTTTTTCTGTTTTCTTATGTCATATACAGTTGACTTTCCAATGCCATACGCCTTGCATAATTTTGAGATGGATATACCTTTAACCATTTTTTTGCAGTAATTCCACTTTTTGTTTAATGAACATCGAAACATGCTTTCGCTTTGTAGATCCTATTACAGCTCCAGAATTAGAAGCTTTTTTCAACATGATCAAAAGTTGAAACTTTAATTTTCATCAAAGTGCTGTAATAAATTGCTGCTATATTGTCTGAAATTCCTTGGAATCAGTCAAATATAATTTTAGCCGAGTTTAATAGCATCCACTATACATTATTGGCTATGTATCATGAGATTGGCGTTGAAAGACTAATTCTTCTGCTAAATTCTGTCTTGCTTCTATCGCACACTGAGACAGTTAAGCTGAACTGTATTAGATAAGTTGGTTATTATACTTATGTCTTATTTCTTGCACATGCTTAAGGATTATCTGAATCCTGAATAAATAAATTCCAACATATACTAAAGGCTTATCGAGGGTCGGCGCTAGATATCTTACTGCTTGATGCAATCTCTGGGAGTCCAAATTCTGCTACCAAGTGCCTCCTACCAAGTTCTTAATTTTGCCGCCCCTAAATTTTGCATCCCAGTGCTTTCCTAAAATTCTAAAAATATTTTCACCCTTTAATTTTGTTGCTCGGTGCTTCTCTAAATTCTAAAAATCTTGTCTTCCCTAAATTCTGCCACCGCCCGGTGTGACCATATAAGCTCTGGTGCCGGTTTTGTGTTTATGTGAATAAAAAATCAGTTATTCTTAATTCAAATAGCACTAAATGTAATCTTTTACCATATGAGTATCTTCAACAAAATCTATTTTTAGCATATGGAAAGAAATTTTTGTTAAGTTTTTCCTTGTCAATATTTTAGTGCATTTAACTTAAATCTGTAATCATTGCCAAGCGTATTAATATCAACATAAAAAGTTACCATACTCTTTGTACTAATATATAAAATTGTTTAGGCGTTGCTGCATGAGTCATTACTCAAGTTGTCATGTGTTTATAAACATGTGGGGATGAAAGCAAGATATATAAAAAGATGATTCACGAGGTTGACGTCAGGGATATAGAGTAACCAGTAGGTGTGAAATCAACGATGTTTCTGTGTAAAATTTTTTGGTTCGAGATGCATGCCAAGCAGATATGCAGCTAAGGAGCCCAGATATTTATGCTAAATTATTCTTTCTTCAATAACAAAGGATATACCGTATATACCCGCGTATAAGTTTTTTTCATGTTTTATCTATGTGCTTGGGTAAAGCATTTTAAAAAAGTTTAGTTTTTGCCAGTTTTGAGATCTGGATTTTAGATTGTACCAGATATTGGATGTCCGGATCTCGGGCTTTGTAGTATATAACTAAATGTGTGCATCTACTCATTGTACATAATACTCTAATGTTTTTAGTGAAGTACATTTTTGCATCATCTTCAATGTTTGTCTTGAAAAGGTCTATGTTAAGCAATATTCTTTTTGCACAATAATTTTGCTTGTAGAAATTCAATATAAACCGAGAGTACTCTTGTGTTTCAAGAATTAAACATTCATCATTAGCTTTAAATGAAATTACTCTAAAAAGTGCATTTAAATGTTTCTGTTTCTGTATTCAATTTTTTCCCCTGTAGTTAATTAAATTCCCTCATTAGCAAGTATTTTGGTAGTATATAATAATTTTAATATTGCATAATGTTTTGATGCTTTTAAGGAAAATGATTGCAAAGACATTTGGCATATTAAAATTGAGAGTAACATCATACATATTTAATTTTTTTGTTTTATTTATAATGACCATGTATTTCGAGAATACATCAAAAGTGTTCCTTAAAAATACCATATCTTTCTTTCAATTAAAATATAATTTAAAAAAACTTCATCCCTTAATGAAATAGATGTAATTCCAGTTATCTTCATCTTATGCATTAATATCAGCTAATTAAAAATTTAATGATTAAAATTTAATCATTAAATATATATAAAATCATGTTAAATCTTGCTTATTGTCTATATTAAAAATGATTGTTTAAAGTTTCATGTTGAACTTAGTTTGCAAATCGAAATGAGATTCCTTCTAAATAACAGTGAAATTATAGTCAATCTCAATGTTGAGCCTGTAGTGGTACATAATCATGCAAAACTGCATTCCTCAATTTTACATTTAGCTGTGCCTTATCATGTTCTGAAAACAAATTAGATCTTCTAGGTAATGAACTGAGATCATTTCATTTAAATCAAGATTTTGATCTCTTTTACAAAGTCTTCTCTGAATTCTTGCATCTGTTATGGAATGTAAAAGATGGCATTTAATAATTTTAAATGTGAGATTTTATCTAACTTTATAACCAGTCTAACTATTTTATCTCAATCTTCAGCTAGCATAGAATCTCCTCCCAAATAAACTATATAAAAGCAAAAGCCACAAACTCGCTTAAATCAGAATGTGAAGGACCAACTAATGCCAAAAAAATGTGGTAAAAATGAATCTAATTAAAATTGCTATGTATTGAAACCTAAATTAAAATTGGTAAATGTAATCGGACAAGCAACATCATAAAAGATATAAAGATGTGAAGAATGTTTGAAAAGATGAGAAAAACTGCAAAAAGTATATATAAAAGGGACTGAATAGGATGAAAATTCTGATTACAGCTAAATAAAACATATTTATGAGTGTTTTGTCTGATTTGTGTTTCTATAATATGTGATGAAAACTGTGTTTGTTTAAGATGCAATCCAAATTTTTATTTTTATTTGTAAGTGGGCTGCCTAAACTGAACAAAAATCTGAACCTAAATGTTCATGGAATTATTGATTGTGTTTCACTAATCTAAATTTAGCCTCTTCTGTTTTGCAACAATATATAAATTACTACGTCTCTTGGGTGATGGTGAAATAGGTGGTGGTCTCTGGGATACACTGGTGAAATAAATTAAGGGAGTTTTCATATTTGATCTACAATCTCCAGAACTACTGGACAGATTTTAATAAAATTTGGTGTGAATATAGGTTGATATAATACAAACAAAATAAACATTCAACAGTTACAATAGACAAACTTGCTCGTGTGTAACACTTGTGAGATTCTGAAGGTCTGAAACAGCGGTTGCAGAAGACACAAAAGAAATGGTTTAATAGAGTGGTATGGTCTCCTCTTAGAGCCATACAAGCCTCACTGCATGATGTTATACCGGAAATAAGGCAGTTTATCAGTGCCTCTGGCAATTGGACCCACTCATTCAGTAATGCTGTTTTCAATTCCTGGATGATTCTTGGAGGGAGGTTATGAGTTGCAATTGCCCTCCCCAGAATGTTCCAGATATGCTCTATAGAGTTGAGGTCTGGAGACCTGGCTGGCCAATTCATCCGGCGGATATCCTCACTCTCGAGAAATTCGTCGACCATAAGAGCTCTACGTGGCCTCACATTATCATCCTGTAAGATGAACTTGGGGCCCACTGCACCCCGGAAAAGGCGAACATGGGCTCCAAAACCTCATCCCTATACCTCACACCAGTCATAGAGCCTCTGTCAAAGACATAAAGAGGTGTGCAGCCATCCAACATGATGCCTGCCCAGACCATCACACCACCACCGCCATAATTGTTGATTTCGCGAACATTGGAGGGTAGGTAGTGGGTCCCTTTCTCTTTCCATATGAAAGTATGGAGAGAATCGGTGTTTAGTCTAAAACGGGACTCGTTGATGAACAGAATGGTCACCCATTGCTCTGTACTCCAATCACTATGCTGTCTGCACCATACTAATTGGACTCTCCTGTCCGTAGACTTGAGCGGGACGCAAACAGCCGGTCTTCTGGCAAACAACCCTCTCTCATTCAGTCTTTTGGAAATAGTCACCCTTGTTACACAGCTTCCTGTGTGGCTGCATACAGGTCCCGAGAGAGTTTAGAAGCTGTAGCCTCTCTGTCAGACCTCGTGAAGATGGACAAATAGCGATCTTCTCTGGCCGTCGTGGCTCTTGGATGACATTGCCGAGGCTTTCTCTTGATGGATCCAGTATCCTGGAAGTGTTTCCATAGATTACACACGATGCTGGGTGTTAAACTCTCTGCATATCTGGACTTGCGATTGGCCTGCCTCTAGCCTTCCTACAATTCGCCACCTCATTCCATTAGCTAAACATTGGCGGTTACTCATTTTTACTGTTCTGATGTGAATATGACCTTTTGCCATTTTTCAGATAGCTTCTTAATTCCATTGGTGTAAAATTTCTATGGCTTATTGTCAAAAAACTTGGCCAAGTGACTTTCAGCGGCACTTCGGTCGGCCAATTTTTTACCATCAAGAGAGTTTAACCGATTGCTGCAAGATAACACGAAGAGATTTGCTGAGGTGTGCTAGCGCCCACAATTCATCTTACCCTCCACGCACTTATAAAGCCTGTGTTTCTGCTGGCTCTGCCTACACTCACATGTACGCTTACGTGTTTGCCTTACAAGATTTGAATTTTTATCTAGAAGCAGTGGTTTTTCCTGTAGTTCAGTTCTTTTCATTCATTTCGATAAAATATGCAAATTCTCTTAATTTATTTCACCAGTGTATAAGAAATAAAAAATTCCGTATGGCTGCATCATCTAGCCAGTAAAAATAACATTTTAGCTATGACCAGCAATATTAACTTGTGGATTTATCAACTCATTTTAGATGAGAATGTAAGTCTTGTTTTGGAACTGAATCTATAGACAGCTGCGTCTTTCGTACAGTGAGTGTATTTACATTCATATTTCTGGGAATTTTTCCATAATGTATTGTAAAAAAAATATATAAATATATATTGCTTAACACCTGTGTAGATTTATTGCAGCTAAGATACATTATTTTGGTGTCAGTGGTGGAATACTAGACTTTGAAAAATTGGTTGAAGAAGATGGCACTTTTACAATTTCTACAGTTGAGAGGTTTACTAATGGTAAGTATTTTCAGAAATAATAAAGAGTTCAATGAGTAAATTGTTAAAGATATCATGTCTACTTCAAACTAAAGTATATACTTCAAACTAAAGATATCATGTCTACTTCAAACTAATTAATTTCTTTATTGTGTAGTGTGAAACCGAGTAACTCAGATATTATAAGTAATAGTGATATTCAAGTAATGCATATCCTAAGCAAGATAATCATAATGGTGATTTATATTGGGTCATATAAAAAGTCTAATCGGTTTTTTGGGTACATTTTTGAATAACAAATTTTTTATTGAAAATCTGTTTTAATTAAGTATGTGTTGACCATTATTATCTATGACCTTTTGCGATTTTTCTGATAGCTTCTTAAGTCCATTGGTGTAAAATTTCTATGGCTTATTGTAAAAAAACTTGGCCAAGTGACTTTCAGTGGCACTTCGGTCGGCCAATTTTTTACCATCAAGAGAGGTTGCAGAGACCGAAACAAATGGTACTCAGATGGTACCAGATCCGGGCTATACGATGTGTGCATCAAAATTTCCCAACCAAGTTCCCTCAATTTGTTCTGAGTCATCAAAGATGTGTGGGGCTGCACATTGTCTTGATAGAACACAACTCCCTTTCTGTTGGCCAATTCTGGTCACTCGTTCCGGATTGCTTAGTTCAAACAGGCGAGTTGTGCACAGTATAGGGTTGAATTCATGGTTTCACCAGGTTGCAGATCCTCATAATGGATGATTCCCTACCAATCTCACTAAACACTCAACATAACCTTGTTTGACATAATCCAGGCTTTGAAGTCGTTTCTGGAGGGTCACCAGTCTTTCACCATGATCACTTGCATTAGATATTCCCATATTTCATCAATTTTTCATCGCCTATAATGATTCGATTTTGTTGCATTTCAGCAGCATTTCACTGGTGGTAATTTGGTAGATCAAATTTCTTTGAGTTAATTCATGTGGCACCCAAACATCAAGCTTCTTTTTGTAGTCTGCTCTTTTCAAACGATTCCAAACTGTCATGTGGTTGATGTTTAGTGCCTACGCTATATCCTGACAGTTTGTGTGAGGATTTTGCTTAACCAGTTGCAAAATTTCATTGACCTTTTCAGTGACAGACCAACCAGAGATGCAACTTTTATATTGAAATTTTTGGAATGGAATCAAGCAAATCATTCCTGGGTCCTTCATTCACTCACAGCATTCTCACCTTACACTTCACAAATTTTTTGGCATGTTTTTGCAACGTTTTTACCTTTTTTACAGTAAAAATGCATCACACAGTGTCTGCAGATATTTCACTCATTTTCAAATTAATATAACTTTTTACATGAGTAACGAATTAGAAAACTACCTTCACAAACAATGGAAGCTGATTGTCATCTCTTAAACACATGTTCATTTGAGACAATCAGGTGAGTGTTGGCAGATATATAGGCATCAAAACCACCTAGTGGCGAAAAACCACGGAGACTTTTTATATGACCCAATATATATTACTCGAAAGTGATAATTATAGACTTACTATTTTTCTCTCAAAGCAGATTTTTTTCTTTTAACAAGTATACTTTCAACAAGTATACTTTTAGACTGAATAAAAGTTAAAAAGACTAACTGCCTGAAATCAACACAAATTCGTGTCTTCCCAAATTTTTTGAAATTGACTTGTTAAAAGTATACTTGTTAAAAGAAAGATACTTTTAATTGAAATTGACTTGAGAGAAATTGATAATTATTTTAATAGTATTCCATATTTTATGGATATGTTACATTTATCGTTATAATTAAAGATGGAGGTATCAGTGATGTAATGAATTGCAGAAAGAATTTAAAATACTGTAGTGTGAGAATTCAAACTGTTGCAGTCTCAAAATGTTTTGCAGAAAGAATAGGTGTAAAATATGTCGAGTTTCTAAATATAATATGATTTTAAGTTCTAAAAGCTATGTTAACCACAACTCACCAGAGAATTAATGAATGGGAGTGCATTTGTAATGCAAAAATAAGTTTCAGTTTACTTCTATTTGGCAACATAGTCTCTTGAAAATATCATGGTAGTAAAGTAATATAAAAAAAGATAATAAAAGTTAAAAAGCAGTTTTTTTTTTAACAAAACGGGGAAAAAACCCTTTTGCTGTGAATATTATTTATCATATATATATATGTAGTGGGGGAGTTGAAGATGCTAAATAACAATTCCAACGTGTTTTCCACACCACAGAATATTTAATAAAGGAAATCAGAAGTTACAAATTGAATTAAATACAAGTGCCGTTTGATACAAACAGGATTCTGTATAGCTTTTGCCAGACTTATCACATAACCGATTAGTGCCTACTCGCACTTGCTGATGTATTATTATACAGTCAGTTTACCATCTTCGCGTGGAAAACTACAGTTCCTTATTCTACACCTTCACGTGTAGACAGGCATCTCACCACCCTCGCGTGGGATAGCAGAAGAAAGTCTCTGTCATACTCCTCTTTCATCTTGCTCTCGCTGCTGACGCATTGGTGAGGCCCTCTGGTGGTTGTGTCGCACTTACAGATACTACAGCTCGTCCGTCCTGACACTTTTTTGTCCTCGAAAACATGGATCAGCAACACTGGAACATCAAGACAGCCCCTGAAAATAAATTAAAAAAAACAAAAGAAAAGGAAAAAAACAAAAAGAAAGATGTGCGGAAGAACCACACATAATGTTAGATAGTAGAAGTCCACAGCTTCATGAGATCAGCCGCTGTAGTGGTACATCCAGGACCTTCATGATCCCCACTTTTTCCACCTGGTAACAATCTTTGCCTTTCCTCGCTGTTACACGATATGGACCGAAGAGCTTTGGCCTGAACTTTAGACCACCTCCATACTGCGTTCTTTATATGACAACTAGGTCATTCACATTGTATACCTGTGCCTCTTTTCTCTTCTTCTTGTATGTTTTTCTATTCTCTTCCTGAATTTTTAGAATGTTTTTCCTTGCTTCCTCTCTCATATCTTCTCGATCTCTCATCACAATATTTTTTTCTTCTTCTTCGAGAATTTCCATAATCTTTAAGTCCTCTCGATTTCTCATTTTAACACCAGTGAGAAGCTCAAATGGAGAACTCTTTGTGCTTCTGCTCTTAGTGCTGTTCAAGATCCTTTGTACATCTCCAACATATTTGTACCATTTGGTTGGATCATCTATGGATAATTTAGATAGGACTGGAATCAGAGTGAGATGAATTCTTCCCACTTGCCCATTTCCTCTAGGAACGCCTGTAGTTGTAAATATGTGCTGGATCTTCTCTTGACTACAGTAATCTTCAAAGTCTTTAGAGGTAAACGCCATACCTTTGTCACTTATAATTCTCAAAGGATTACCAAAAGTTGATTGTTGCAGTTTCAGCTTCTGCTATGCCTCTTGAGCTGATATAGACTTTACTGGATAGAGCCACACGAACTTTGTGAATGCATCAACCATGGTTAATATGCTATTGTAGTTCTTATTTTTCGAAGGTAATGGTCCTATAAAATCGACATGAAAAGTGCTCAAAGGAATACCATCTTTTGGTATGGGATTCAGCAATCCTTCGCCCTTACCTCGTTTTCTGTCGCACAAAATACATTCTACACAATTTGAAAAAACTTGTTCAATTCGTTTTCTAGTGTTAGGAATATAAAAGTCGGTTTTCAGCAGATCTTCTGTTTTAGACACTGCGAAATGTCCCTTGTTGTGGATACTATGTATCATTTCTAGCTCTAATGCTTCGGGTACCACAAGTAACTCACAACTACTGTCGAACTTGTATAATACTCCAGTTTTCACTAGAAAATCTTTCTTTAGTCCTTGCTCGACTAAGGATTTTAGTAACTGGAGACGCTCATCACTTCTTTGCGCAGCTGCAATTTTGGCTGTAACTTCTCCCTGAGAACAAGTAACCATCATAACAGCGTTTCTACTTAATGAATCCACATGCTTCATTTGTTGCCCAGATCTGTGAACAATTTCATAGTCAAATTCTTCTAGAAGTAACGCCCATCTCACCACTTTAGGAGTTAGATCTTTCTTAAACATGGTCTTCTGGAAAGCATTGCAATCTGTAACTGTCCTGACCTTAGATCCTAAAGGCTAATTCCTGAATTCCTTTAGAGCTTCCACTATAGCTAAAACTTCAAGCTCATAACTAGATAGCTTCTCTTGTTAGAGACTATTTTTTTTACTCATGAAGTAAATAGGGTGTAACTGTCCATCATCTGACTTTTGTAGCAATACAGTGCCGAAACCATCACTGCTTGTGTCTGTATGCAAATCTAATGGTGCTCCTTGTTTAAAAATATGAAGAACCGGACTTGTCGATAAAAGTCCTTCAATTTATTAAATGCACCTTTTTGCTCAGGTCCAAATTTGAATTCTGCTCCGTTAAGAAGAAGATCACTTAGTGGTTTCGCTATCTTTGAATAGTTGGCAATAAATTTCCTAAAATACCCAGTAAGGCCCAAGATACTTTGAATCTGCTTAAGGTTTTTTGGGTTCAGGAAATTTTGAACAGTCCTTGTTTTTTCAGTAGAGGGGTGAATTGTACCATCCTCAATAGCATACCCGAGAAATTCTATTTTTCTTTTCAAAAATTGGCATTTCTTAAAATTAATCTCCAAACCATATTCTTTGGCTACTTCTAAAATGCGTTTCAGCTTTTCTAAACCTTCTTTCTCATTTTGTGCTGGAATAATAAAATCGTCCATGCAAGTAACAACAGTGTCATCCTGAATTAAGTCTCTAAACACATTATAAATAAATCTTTGGAACACACTAGGGGACGTGCACAAACGAAAAGGTGCTTTTAGAAATTCGTACAAGCCTGCATGAGTAATAATGCCAAATATTTAGTGCAATTTTCCTCCATCGGAACATGAAAAAAACCATTTTTTAAGTCTAATGTCGAAAAAAACCTTTGCTTCTCCCAAACGATCTAAAACCTCTTCTACTTGTGCCATGGGAAAAAAGAATCCTTCACTAATATTTTTTTATTTAACTGCCTGGAAGTCAACACAAATCCGTGTCTTGCCCACATTTTTTTTTTCTACACAAAACAACTGGACGAAGCATATTCTGAACACGACGGCTTTATAATCCCATCCTTTAACCATTCATCTATTTGATTATCAACAATTTTTTTGATCAGCAAAAGGAATTCTCCCAGAACGCTGAGAAACTGGAATTTCATCTTTTAATATTATTTTCATTTTTAAGTCTGTACTGCGCGGCTTTTCTAACGGTTTATACTCATTAATAAGAGTGGAAACAGTATTGCATAATCCTTCATCTTTAATATGCCATAAATCTGTTTCGCTGTCTCCCTCAATGGCTGCAGAAATAAAAGACAAAAAATTCCTTTCCAAAGAGATGGAATCTTTTTCGTATTGCGTAATCATCACCTGGTCACAACAGATCATTTTTAGACAGGAAGGGGGTAAAGTACAATCTGTTATCAAGTCATAAACCATTGCTGCTTCTATCTCTTTTTGTTTTTTGCTTTCGCATAAAGAGAAAATAAACTTAGCCATTTCCGCTTTAACCACGTTACCAAACGAACTTTTGAGTTCTATATATCCACATGATATTTTATTCGGAAAAAGAGATTTCTTTACATCTTCACTATCATCAGTTCACTTCCAGAATCTATTAAACATTTTACTTTTCTTACCATCAATCAACAGTTCAATAAATTCTAACTTATTTCTAGCTGCATTATTCGATAAAATCTCTAACCCAGATACCTTTTTTTGAGACAAACTTTCCTACTTTTCTAAACGTCTGGGACTATTTCTCACAAAATGAAACAATTCCCCTTTACTCCCACATACATAGCAAATACGTTCTGGTTTACTACTACAGTTAAAAGTCGTTAATCCGGACTCGTCAGGACTTCAGCGATTCCGGATTATAGATCATCAGTTTAAATCTGGTAAGATGGCATGCAGAAATTATAAAATTAAAAATATACAACCGTAATTTATGAAATAAAGAACAATTATGATCTAAAGGGTATCAAAATTTACAAAAAAAAAAGCTTTAATATTTATTTGTTTACTTTATTAAACATTTCTTTCAATGTAAGTTGTTTAAGTTCCTTTGTTTTATGTGATAATACTTTCTCTTTAATTCTATAAACATACATAATTTCTTGTTCAGTTACAAAGTTCCGCTGTTCAAGTCCTATAATTGCTGTGTCGAGAATACCGACTAATTTTTCAATCGAAATTTTTTGTTTTCAATAACCTCTGTGTCACTTTCTTCACTATCGGAAGCGAATTATAATGACGAGGAATTTGATTTAAATCATATCAAAGACGGAGTACATCGAGATGAAATACTACATTTAGTAAGGAATTATAAGCCAAATAAAATAAAAACATCTGCCCTGAAGATAAGGATAGTGCTGACAGATCAACTTCCAATTCATTGCGTGCCGCGGCATTCCCCCCCCTCCCCCACCGCAGATCAGCGTGAAATTGATAAACAGATTTCAGAATGGTTAGATTAAACAAAGGATATGCCTTTATCCATTTTTTGCAGCAATTCCACTTTTTGTTTAATGGACTTCGAAACATACTTTCGCTTTGTAGATCCTTTACATATTAGTAAATATATATCAGAAATTCTATTTGACATAATCGAAAGTTCAAACTTACTTTTATAAAATTGCTCTAACAGTCAGTCTGCAAAAAATAATAAGCCGGATCCAATTCGAAGATTAAGGAACAACGCAATCTGCAACATTAACTGAAATAGATAATTAGATAATTTTAGCTTATACCATCCATTATACATTAAACGTGCATGCGTAAACGTATTATGTGCATGCGCCCATGCATGTGCGCAGCCGTAAAGGGTCTTACGTGTATGCGTAAACGCCTATGCGCATGCATCAAAGCGACGCATACACAGAAAGTTTGTAGCTTTGAGATCCGGATTATAGATCATTCCGCATTATGAGTGTCCAAATTAACGACTTTTGACTGTATTATGATTTACAAGCTTCCCTGAATCCTTGAAATTGTTCTGAGCTTTTCTAAGATTGTTTTTGGAAAAATTAAGCTTTTTATTTTCTGGAGTTTTGATTCGCGTGTTACTGGCATCAGCTAAAGATTTACCCCTGGATGAATAAAACAAATAACATTCTCTCCCCAATTGATTTGGTTGGAACCAACTTTGGCCCTCCCGAACACTAATATGTTCCTTTGTTTTAGAATCAAGAGTTTCATACAACTTACCAGATATAATGAGATCACACAATTTCTTAAAGCCATCTACCTCTCTTAACTTGCAATAATAATTGAAAGTTGCACTGAGTCGAGATGTGAACTGAACACGTGATTCAGATGAATGTCTCTGTGCATTTTTAAAATTGTTTAAACATTCATGCGGTGTCGGCTGAAATTCTTTCAAGATTAGAGTTTTTTAATTTTTCATAATCCGCTATTTCTTGTTCAGAAACATACGTTGAAACATTATTACATTTATCACCTAATAAATTAATCAACACTTCTGATTTTAACTCCACTGGTACACTTTTAGTAGTAAAAGCTTTCTCAAGTGACTGAAAAAAACAAATGCAGAGCTTCAGGTTTCTGGGGTACAGCTATAGTTAGTGTTTTCACGCTTTTAATGATATCTTCAACACTACTCTGCGCGTTTCTTCTATCACTCGATAATGATTGTGATTTTAAACTTTCTAGCTCAATCTGCTTCTCAATTTCAGCTAATTTAAGCCGTTTGATCTCTAAAAGGTAGAGTTCATTACTTGTTTTAGGCATCCGATCCTCAGCGATCGATTTGACGACGCCACGAACAAATTCAACGTTCGTTTTGAAAACGTCAGAATTTTCGATAATTTTTCTAATGTCAGATTTCTTAGCATTTTCTGGAACAGTCTGTTCAATTTGTTCCGCAATTACTATTAAATCACTTTTCTTTAAATTATTTAAGAAGCTCATTTTAAAAACGAAACAAAAGTATCACTATCTTCAAGAAAGAAATAAAGCAAAGTTTTCACAGTACCTTCTCTGAAGGATCCAAGTATGAAGTATTCAAATATCCCGGACAGGCCCCCAGATTTTTTGTAGTGGTGGAGTTGAAGATGCTAAATAACAATTCCAACGTGTTATCCCCACCACAGAACATTTAATAAAGGAAATCAGAAGAAGGTACAAATTGAATTAAATACAAGTGTCGTTTGATACAAACAGGATTCTGTATAGCTTTTGCCAGTCTTATCACATAACCAATTAGTGCCTACTTGCACTCGCTGATGTATTATTATACAGTCAATTTACCACCTTCGTGTGGAAAACTACAGTTCCTTATTCTACACCTTCACATGTAGACAGGCTTCTCACCACCTTCGCGTGGGATAGCAGAAGAAAGTCTCTGTCATACTCCTCTTTCACCTGCCAGCCCATGGGTGAGGCCCTCTGGTGGTTGTGTCGCACTTACAGATACTACATATATATATATATATATATAATATATATATATATTAATTTGCTTAAGTGGGATTTTCTCTCCCTTCCTTATTTTATTTCTGGTATTTAGCTTTATGTTTCCCTCTACCTTATGACATTCATTTTTCCCATTTTCTTAAATCCTTAATCTCCCCCCCCCCCCCCCCCGAAAAAAATCTGAATTTTACTCGCATCAAATGGCACTTGTGCATTCTATGCCTTAAAGCTATGTTAGCCTGAGTACTAATATTTAGTCCATTATGCATAAAAGTTCTTGCAAATAACTATCTTTTCTAAGATTATATGCTTATTGCTGAATGCAGGTGTATCTTCCACCCTTTAATTACTGTGTTAATTCATGCAATAAATGGATAAATGTAATTAAATTTCTTCGTTTCTAGTAATTTTAGAATTAAGTTTATCATATAGTTAATCTGACTTTTCTCTGTAGTTTTTAATGAAATATTCATCACATCCCATGCCACTAAGCATATTATTTTATAAGCAATATTTCTTGTACAAGTATTGATATCTTTAAAAAAAAAGATTTAAAATATATTATTATAACCAATAGAAATCTTTATAGCTGTAGAAAAAAATGCCTTTCCTTTATGACATCTCTAAGGATATCTGTTGCTTATCTACATTCTTGCCAGATATTGCTTCAAAAAATATTTTTTATTTATCTTAAATGCTGTCAATGATTACTGTTACTTAATGAATGTACTTCTCAACTACTGATCAGAAAAGTTGTGTTTTATTCTTGATTAAAAAAAAAACTTTGGAAGTATAACCTGAGCCACTGATATCCATATAGTTTTTATAGCTGCTACAGCATGTACATTTCCTAGGCTCTCATGTTCAGTTCCCAGCCAAAATAAAATCTTTATACTATCTCATTTGTGAATGTGAATCACATATTTCAGGAGTTACATTTCATAAAAAATACTTTCCCAGAAAAATATTGGCCATGATTTTTTTTAAATGCTTATATTCTTGTAATAGATTCCAGAAAGCAGAAAACGTAACTAGTGATACAGACTGACTGTTATTAAAACTTGAAAAGCTTATTTCTAGAACAGATGTCTTATAATCATTGATAGGACATTTGCTCATTCTGGTTAGTTCTTGTCATGAAAATGCTTAAGATATTTTTCCAAAAAAACTTATGATTAAATGCATTGGCATAAATTTAATTACATTTAGTTTTTATTTATGCGTTTTTATTATTTTAGAAAATGCATATGCTTCATAGTTATTCTTAAAAATTTAATATGAACCTATTGTAATATAATAAATTTTTATGTTTCAGGTTTCGAAAGAAGGATAATGAAAATGAAGAGAAAAAACACATCTTAAAAGGAATATCAATATCAATATATATACATATTTTACTGAATAAAATGAATTACAAATAATTTTACTGTAAAATTAAGTGGTTTTTATTTCATGTTATACATTGCAAGTAAAATATGCCTGCTTTGGGATTTGAGTCCACAAATTCTAAAAATGGCATTGCTAAATCATATCTACCTATAAACTAACACCTTTCTGCAATAATTTTTACTGTCAATTCTTGTTGTATCTTCAAAGTTCTTGTGGATTCCATTCTTGAGACCATACAACTTAATTCATGTTTCATTCTTCAGTCTTTCTGTTATCCTGTTCTGGTTGTGATGTAGCAATTCTTTAATTAGTACAGCAATAGCTAGAATTGTCCACCAGTGGCTAAGCAGTAAACCTGCTGAATACCGGTAGATTGATCCAGGTCTGACTTCCAGTGAATCAACTGGATACATAGGTATTTTCAGAATTTTTTCCATACATAATGTGAATATTAGCCACTTTCCGATAGAAAGACCTCCATTCCTTTCTCTAGATGGATAACGTTCGAAAGCTGTTCTGTAATCCAATCCAATAGCTAGAATTTTAACAAACAATTGGAACAAATTAAAAGTTTTTACTTCATATAAGCTAACAAAAGGCCACAAATGTTCTACAGTTGACAAAGAATTTGATTTAAAGATATTATTTTATAAAAGTCAAATTAAAAGAATTACTTGGATATATAAGCAACTGTATCCAGCAATTTTTAATGGAAAATTTGTTTGAGTACATAATTAAATTGTGTTTTGGATCACATTAAAAGCAGCATCAATGTATATAAGCATTTTAAGCTCACATTAAGCTTGATTTTAGTCTTCAGAATCTTTAATGTTTGGTTATTCCTTGGTATGATAGAATATCTAATAATCGAAAGAAAACACCAATGAGACTACAAAATAACATTTATGTTAGATGTAATAAATGCAGACTTATAACCATATATAGATATAAGTATTTATATTTTTCTTCTTGGTTCATCTTATACTTATCTCACATAAAATGTTTTAGTTATTAAGTAATTGAAAATCTTTTTTTTAATATAGCTTTTTACATAGTTTCATTTAACTTTGTTTCTGTGTTTGCTTGCTTGCTAAGATTGAATCTTAAAAGTATTTTGATTCTCTTTTATTGACCTGATTTTCCTGAAATTTTTCATAATTATGTACTTGTGCTGACAAAGTAACTATCACAGGTGACATTTTCAAACTAACCGTCACCGATTTTTTATCTTTACACTGTAAAATATATAAAAAAATAAACCTTTCAAATGAAGAGGGGAATTTCTGACATTAATTCAGCACATATTTATTCTGCCACCCTGTTATTTTGCTTTGATTAACAATGATAGATTTTTGAATCAAAGAATAGGCTAAAGTCAGCTGTTGTGAGCAATCCCGTGGTTTTAATGATAATGAGATTCAATTCTAAATCATCCAGAAATTTAGACTAAATGTAGATTTTAAACTACAGGTAAATTGGAAAACTGTAGGAGGGGTTACAGAATGTCATACATGCTCATTATTTAATTGATGGAAAGGACTGATTTTAATACCTTAGTATCAATGGTTCCCCGCCTCCCCCCCAGCTTTTCCACCTGTTGTCCATGAACAACATTTTTTAAATGTAAGCTGCACAGTTTTATCCCTGCCAGATGGTGGAAAGTTTGGTGAAGGACAGTGATTGATTATATTCTCAGTTTCTTAAACTGTGGGCCTCGGGATCTACACTAGGGGTTGCCTTTTTGACTTATTATAATAATTTTACAATTACCAAATATTTTTACACAGTGTATCTAAAAACAGATAAAGACAACATTACAGGCAAAGAAAAAAAAAAGTAAAAGTTTTGACGCATTTTTACTTTGTATGAAGTAAAGGAACTATTGTAATCACGAAAAGTTCTGGGTTTTATGTTTCAAGGAAAATATCCATTTTATCGAATGCAATCTAACAATGTTTCGGCATGACATCTGTACATAAGGATGGAATAGAGGATTTCCCCCCCCCCTCAAATGAATTATAAAACTGATTTAAAAGGGATTCAAAAGAGATTTTTTTGTGGCGTCTGTACGTACTTATGTATGTATCTTGCATAAGTTAAAAACGAGTAGCCTCAGAGCATTGAAATTTTGTATATATTGACTGCTACATTATGCAGTTGTGCACCTCCCTTTTTGGTTGCAATTGGCTGCACCCAAAAGTATATATATATATATATATGTATAACTACTCTGTTACTGGGCTCGATGAGCTCATTTTTTTATATTTATGTGTTGTTAAATTGTGCATTTTTTGCTTAAAAATGATTGAATTGTATTGTTCTTATCTTCTGGTTAAGGCCTTTATGCCTTTAGTTACTCTCCCTGCTATAGTTATAGAATTATCAACGATTTAAAAATTGTTTAAGTGCAGCTAAGCCTAATTTTTGTTTACCATAGTAGCCATATTTGTATATTTTTGAAACTTAGCACAAAAGTGAATTCAGTTTCCTGCACCTTCAGTGTCTTTTTGCCAGATGGGACCAAAATTAAACTTTCATTTTTGTGTGCTGAAAAATCTTCTATGTTGCCTTTTGGCCGAATTGCTTGTTTTGGCTGGAAACTAATTTTAGATGTATTTTTTTTATTATTATTGTTTAATTGTATTTGGTGTTTTATTTTTTTCTATATTTTAATGAGATATTTTGAGGTTTTATATATTTTTTCCCTTGCCGGGAACTGAGAACAGAATTAATTGAATGAGAAATATAACTCTAATGAAATTCGAGGAAATAAGTTTAAATGAAATGCAGCAAGAAGTGCGTAATTTAGTATTCCTATCAAGGAAGTCATGTGGTGAGTACATCAGATTTTTTTTATAATAGAAACGTTCATTTTACTTACTTTGCACGTGATGCTGTCAGTTAGTCAAAAGCCCTGCATATGCAAGATATGGGTGTTTTGGTAAAACATGCACTCTGGGCCCTCTTCATCCGCCGCCGTTAGCCATTCTATGCGGATCGTTTTTAAACGCTTCAGCGCCCCTTCACTCTGAATACATATACTGTGGTATTGTCCCGATAAAACAAGCTTTCTGTCGCTTTTGCCATCGTCATTTCGTTCGTTGTAAAGAAGTTTTGGCTACAGAAAGCATGAAACCCGCCTAATTAAAACATCTCAATACAGACAATACTGCGCACTGCAAGAAACCCAAAGAATACTTTGAACGATTTTTGAAATCAGCAAAAATGTGGCTTTGTTGCTGTGAATGAAAAGCATTTACTTGCGTCTTATGAAGCATCCTATTTAATTTCAAAAAATAAAAAGGCTTAGTTTGGAGCAAATTTACAGTGCTGGTCATTAAGAATCACCAGGAATGAATGATATGACGAACGTCAAAATTACATGAAAGGAAGAAGTTGGGATATGCAAATAATTAGTATTTCAGCGCATTTAGATGACGCAGGAGGGGAAAATTACAGCTGAAGCACTGCATAAAAGAAAAGTTGTGTAATGGATTTCTCATTTGGAAAGTTCTTTGTAAGACTGGGGTTTGCTCAGAATATCGTGTTATGCCTAGAATAAGAAGAGGAAATGTTTAACAGCAAATTTCGAAATTCGATAGACAAAGGATCGAATTTCGAAGAGAGACAGGATCATTACCTATCGAAAGCGTAGATTATTGATCCGTGATATCGCCGGTCGCCCTGGTCGATATCCAACCACTGTCATGCGAATATGGAATCAATTGATTGTTGAGGGTCATACTAAACGGAATGCAGGATTTCAACGCCCTCCCACTACTAACGCCAGAGACAACAGAAGCCCAGCAAAACCGTACGATAATAACCGCAGTATTAAATAAAACGAAATACTATTCAGAAAAGAAGCACGAAAATTAACTTTTTTATATTTACTTACTTTATTTTTAGTTCAAAGGGCCAATTTGCCCTGAAGGACTTTTAATTTCGCTTTGGCATTTTTCATTGAAAACCAAAAAGGGATAAACTGCGAATCACTTTTCAAATTGTTGCAACTAAATATTATCGCTCTGTATTATACTTAAAGAAATTAAATATTGAAGAATCTGCATGAATGTCTCGCATTGTGATAAAACAACGGTACCTAGAGCTATCAAAATTTAAATAACGTAATTTTCCATACAATATGGGCATGTGGAAGCCCTAATTTGAATTTGAAATTTGTTTTATTATCGATTTCATATTTTATAACACTTCAACGAATTTTTGATTAAAAAAACTATAAGATTTCAAAGCGAGTAATGTCAACACCGTACGAAAAAAATCCTATTTTTATCTCCAGCGCGAGAGACTCTAAGATACGCTCATTTTAAAATAATTTTGAGATATTGCTGTTGAACTGAACTTTATGGTTTGAGTACGTAGAACATGATATTTAATGAGGTAACACACAAAACGTTTAAAAACGCTCCTTTGGACGTAGTTTAAAATCTGAAACCTTTCATATTTTTATTTATTAGTCCAAAGGGACGTATTAGTATTTAAAACAATAGTCCTTGAAAAAATAACAATAGTCCGTGAGAGACTATTGTTTAAAAATAAATACTATTGTTTTAAATACTAATACAGTTTTCGTTTTTGCGATTTTGTGTTGAATCACTAGAAACGGCGAATCACTTTTCAGACTGTTGCCACCAAATGTTATTAGTCCCGCATTACATTTGAAGTAATTAAATAATGAAAATCTGCGTAAATGTATGTATATTTCTCGCATTGTGATAAAAAAAAAAGGTTTGAAAAAAGGCCATCCAAGTTTGAATGACGTAATCCTCCTACGAATATGGGCATGTGGAAGACCAAATTTAAAATTTGGAATTTGTTTTATTATCTATTTCATATTTCGTGAAACTTTAACGAATTTTTGAGTAACAAACTCAAAGATTTCAAAGCAAGCAATAGCAACACTCTACGGGGGTGGAAACCTTTTTAATTCACTAACTCTACTAACTCTTTCAAATGCAAATAAATGGTGGCCTCGTTGCGCCTACCATTACTTTTACATTGCTCATAAATCGATAGCTATCCCATGCACTAAAGTTGTAAAATCCGTAACCGCAACATAAGAACAACATAATTACCCCTTTAAAAGGCAAAAATGCAAAATTTACTAATAGATAAGAACACAAATACAGAGCTGAACGAGCCGGTGTAACAGGACAGGAATATTATATTTATACATGTTAAAGTGACCGATTGCCACGAAAAAGCGAGGAGTACAACTATATGTTATAGCACTCCCATATACTAAAACATTCTACGTCTACTCATTCTCGAGTTAATTCGAGATACGTATCTCTTGAAACGAAAAAACTTACAAATACCGAAAAATCTCTTTGCTGAATTCATTTTACAATCCGTTATTGGAAAAAAAAGCTCCATATTTATTCTGTCAAGATACTATGCCAAAAAAAAAAAAAAAAAAATCATTTCAATTGATTTATTGTGGTTTAAATTGGGTGACAATTACAGAGTTTTCTTGAAACCTGGTGCCCTAAATTTTTTGCAATTACAGTTCTTACTTTAATTTGTAGAAGGAATTAGAAGGTGACAGTTTTGTATCTTCCATTCTACAGGGCCGATTAACGAAATTTAGCTTGCATTTTTCATACCGGAAAAGCGCTTCTTTCGCAAACTTGTATAAGAGTTTTAAAACAATATTAAAAATTATCCAAATTGAAATAAGAATTTATAATTGAACAAACTCGAAAAATAAAAATGCGAAAGGGAAAATATACAAATTGTAAACATATAACAATAAATCTCCTTTTAAAGAGGTCGCTTACCTAAAGAAAATTTTCTGAGTTACATGAAATTCGAATTCAAATTACAAGAATTTGTTAACTAAATTGTTCTTTATTTAAAATCATTCTCTGGGATCTGGATATACTTATGGATTACGAGGAAATGGAAACCCTTAGGGCGGAGTCTTAAGTCTCAAAGTTTTGCCTCAAATGCCAATATTTTATGATTCATGCAGTTTTTCAAGAATAAAGCTTTGAATATTATAATAAATCATAAATGAATAATAATAAACAAAAGTCTTTAATACAAATGAGATGACAAGACGAATGATTAAAATTTTATTGGAGAGCCAAAAGTGTTAATTTTACATTTAATTTTTAATAAAAGTCTAAACTTTATAACTAGTTCGAAATTTTTTTGAAATGGTAATAATAAATGAAATTGTAATAAAAAATAATCAAAAATTTAGAAATAAGTAAATCAAATACAAAATTAAGATAATAATAGTAATAATATATATAATAATAAAATTAATGCTAAGCAAAATAAAATATTAAGGAGAAAGAAAATATAAATTTAAAAAGTAACAATAAGAAAACACAAAAAACATAAAAGTAAATATTAATAAACAAATAAGTAAAAAATAAAATAGCATTTAAAAAGAATATGATATAAACATAGTAAAAAATGCAGTAATTGCAAAAATATAATAAAAATAATTCTTAAGCTTTAATTAAAAGCCTTAATTTTGGCAAAATGCACAGTTTAGTCATAATTAAGCCACTTCCTTGGCTCCCCAATTAGTATCTTTTTTATTAAATAAATATAGGTTCTGCTTATGAGCTCAGTTTTTCAGTCAGTCAAGGAGATCATCACATGACCAGTCCCTGGTCAGTCAATGTCCAAATTTATACAATCAATGAGATCGTCTCTTATTTAGTCAGTCATGTCCTATATTTATTCAGTCACTTCAGTCACTGGTCAATTAGTGTGATCGTCAGTTAGTCAGTCTCTCGTCAGTCAATGTACAATTTTTAGTCAGTCAATTAGATTGGTGTCATTTCGAACAAATGTATCACGAACATAAATTGAAATTATGTAAACTTAGATTTTGATATGATGCTTTAAACTGTTATGTTTATTTTTGATTTTTTTAAAGCGAAAATATTTCGAATTTGAATAAAAAACGAATAAGCTTTTTTTCTTAATTTGAAATTTTTGAAATTTCAAAGTGGCTTGTGCAAAAAACGCTTGTATCGAATTGATATGCTCGTTTTAAACGATATTGCTGTTGCATGAAGGAAGTGCTGATGATATGTCGACGTCTGAACAGATCAGATAAAGCGAGTATAACGAGCGATCTCGTCATCAACGTAGATAACAGCGACGGTATCAACGACGATATCAATAAGGCGTTCTTGAAATTCTTGAATTGGTTTCACTTCTAATCTGTCTACTTGATCCATTTTGCTATTTATTTCTGGTTCATTATTTGTGTTGATGAGATTGCCGAAATTGATGTCCCCTTGTGCTCCAAGATCGGTATGCGATACAATGCATTCAGCATCCAATGATTTAATAGAGGCATTCAAAGTGGGGTTTTCCTGGTTGAAGATGGTTATTCTGCTATTCATGCCTGTTTGATTACCTGAGTTATCAGGTTTTGGGTAATCAAAATTCCTTTCTGCTTCTTCATGGAAGTAATTCAATTGATTTCCATCACTTATATGGTAAACTTCAGTGGGATTATTATTGAAATCTTTGGCAAAACGTTCGATGTGGTCAGTGTCACTATCGATATGCAAATTTAGAAGATTATTATCAAAAGCTTCGTTAGGAATTTGGAGAAGATGGGTGTCATTGTCTATATCCACATCAAAGGAATCGTCATTATGTTCATGAATATCAGCACATGAATCAAAGAAATCTAAATTATGTACCTTCTTTCCGGCACTATAGTTGTGTTCATTAAGGTTAATGGTATTTTCATCGTTACTTTTTCGAGTTTTCTCTTCTCTTCGAGGAAACAAAATGAAGGCAATCGCAAAACAAATAAGTATGCCCAATAGGCTGTCGATAAACGGTGTTGGTATAAAAACGTAACATAATACTGTCAACAAAAAGAAGCCCATTTCTAAAAATGGCCCGAATTCGTTTTCAGCAGTAAAAATAACAAATTTAAGCAAATGTGATCCACACGTAAAATTTTAGCACCACTAGATTTGATATCTCTAATGATTATGGTTTATTAGCATTGTTAAAAAAGTATTCATTAACTTTGTTGTAATTCAACAAAAGCCTAAAACAATTATTAGTAACTTGATTGTTACAAATGTTATTAAAAGGATTCTTTGAATATGTAGCAATGAAAGATGTTCTGATATATAACTCTACTCATAATATAAAGGAAGTTTCTGTGTGTATTTCTTTCGTTCATGCTGCGTGTTAGCTAATAGACCCAGGGCTACGAATTTGGTACATAGGTACATCTACACAAAAGCCAGTATACCTCGAACAGAGTTTTAAGCTCAACAATATGCTTCCATAAGAAACCATACTATCAGACGTCATTCTGACATCATATCAGGCGACGACATTTCATACGACCATCATAACAGACATTGTGAACATTGAAAACCGAGTGAATAGAACATATCGTTTCAATTCTCTACATTCCTCAATAACAAGATATAATAAGTTGAGACAACATGGGGTTTTCAGAACGCTTACCTTACTAAGGGATTCAGGGAATGGAATTAAGGTAGCTCGTGCGATGGTCACTTTCTCATCCAACAGATTATGACTAGAGAGCGGAAACGAGAAAGTGACTTATATTTCATCTTCGGTGAACCAATAGAGCTAAATTATGCGTCTGCTTAATGCTGTTGGCTGAACATCCTTCTAAAACTTATACACATGCCTGAAAAAATTCATGACACTTAGAATGGAAATCTTTATTATCTTCACTGCTTATTGGGTCACAATCACAGAGTTAAGGGAAGTGGGAGTTTAATTAAACTATTCTTTTGTCTTTTCTCTAAAATCAGTGCATTGTTTTCAGAATATTATATTCGATCTAAAGGTCTCACATCGCTTTTCCTCCTACTCAAATCTTTCGATTTTTTTTATATATAAAATCATAAACACTTTCGCTCACCACTTACCTAACATGAACGTATATTTAAATTAGGTACATGCACCCAATAAAATATCTGATGTGGCCACCACATGACTTCTCTGTAAGGACTATTAAAACACCTGCATTAATAACTGTAAAATATATAAAAATCTAAAACGTTTATTACAGTTAAAACAATTTTACAATTAAAATTAGAGTTTCTGCATCCAAACAAGCAAATCAGCCAACAGGCAAACGACCAAAATTTTGGTATACATATTGAAGTTAATGCTTAGTCTCCCTATGCAAACGGACATGGAAGTTGGCGCACTGTAAAGATTTAAAAAAGTGAATCAGAGGCCGATGATAATTAAGTAGAGGCTTTATTAAATGATGGAATTAATCACACACATGGAACAGCACATTTCTATATCATCACACCATGACCAAGAACTACTACAACTGTTGCCAATACAACCTAAGCAAAAGTATAAAACAGTTACAGGTTAAAATACATGACATTAAAACAAAACGGGGAGTAAGTGTGATTATTCGCGGCACCCTCCCTTAATCACATATGATTTTACATTTATATCTTAAATAACGTAATCTTGGTTTAGGCAAGCATTTTGTAAACAAATCAGCTAACTGATTTTCACTAGAAGCATATACAAGATTTATATCATACAATTTTACAATATCCCTAATGTACTTTAATTTAATATCCAAATGTTTTAGTCTAGCACAATGAGTTTTATTTAATATTGCTTTAATTACAGACTGATTATCCTCATAAACTGAAACTTTAATATTGTCGACTCCTAAAAGTTCTTTAGATACATTATAAAATACAGTTAGGTCCTGGATAGCTTTTGCTTAACCAAAATTTCTGCCTCAGTAGAGGACAGAGCAATAGATGTTTGCTTTTTAACAAAGTCACAGGACAATCATTAAAGAAAATAATATACCCAGAAATAGATTTTCTATCATATGTATCTGACCCCCAATCAGTATCAACATAAACATTTAACATAATATCAGCACTATTAGATTTAGAAAATAATAATTTGAGTTCAGATGTCCCTTTTAAATAACGAAGAATTTGCTTCAGACCAGCCCAAGCACTGTTAGTGGGTTGCTCTTGTATTTGACTCAGACAATTCACAGAAAACAGAATATCAGGACGAGTTGTCATAGATAGGTACAGCAAAGCACCTACAAGTTCACGATAAGGGCCATGAAATCTTTCACCATTCGCAAAAGTTGACTTCGGCACTAGGGAAGTATCAGATGGCTTACAATCTAACATTCTAAATCTATTTAACAATTTTTCAACATAAGATTTTGGCCTAAAGTAAGTTTGTTCTGTGAATATTCAAAACTTATTCCTAGAAATTCATTTGCAACTTCAGCCTTGGGACATCTCAAATTCATTTCTTAAGTAATTCAATCACAATTCTTACCTCTGAAGCATTAGAACCAGCAATTAGCAAGTCATCCGCATACAGCACAATAAATATTTCAACTCTGTTTAGTTCTTCTCACAAAAAGTACATGCTTCCACAGTTTAAGTTGTTGGAAAGTTTAACTGAATTATAAAATCAGTAAATCTCTTGAACCACTGCCTCGGTGCTTGCTTAAGTCCAATAAAGACTCTTAAGAAGCTTTTCACACACACGACCACTGTTGTCACTGTAGCCCATTGGTTGTTCCATGTAGATTGTTTCTTGGAGATCACCATTCAGAAATGCAGTCTTTACATCTAATGCATAGATTTCAAGATTCTTTTGAATAATGATAGCCAGCAACAAGTCGAAGTGATGATGTACTAATTTACAGGAGCATAGGTCTTAAAGTAATCAATGCCTGGCTTCTGTTCAAAGCCACGAGCAGCCAGTCTAGCTTTGTAAACATTGTTTCGTTTGATGCGCAACACCCATTTACAGGATATTCGCTTTTCATTCCTTTGGCAAGTTGACTAACTCCCACACTTCATTTTTATTAAGAGAAGCTATTTCCTCATCCATGGCTTTCCTCCATAGGAACTTGCTCTTCTTTTGGCAATGTTGTTATATCCTCATATGTTACTGTATCAAGAGTTGCCACATTAGCTTCATACACAAAGTAATCATTCAACTTTACAGGTAATTTTATATTTCTTCTTTGCCTAATAATTTCTTCACGACTTTCTTCAAGATTTCTGGATTCTACATCACTTGAATCATATACTTACTTCATCTTTAGCAGGATCTTTACTTTCTATGGAAAAATCATCTTGAACTGAGATACATTTCTTTTTCTCTTCATTGAACAATTGAACATTTCGAGAAACCACAACATGATTTGTGACTGGGTCCAGTAAACGATAACCCATGGTAGAGTATCCAATAAAAATCATCTTTTTTGATTTTGGATCCAATTTCTTTCTTAAGTTATCAGGAACTCTCATGTATGCATCAGATCCAAACACCTTAATAATATTCAAATCAGGCGGCTTCCCATATTTGAGCTCATAAGGTAGATTTTCAACAGTCTGATTTGGAATTCTATTCTTAAGATATACATGCAGCTGTCTGTACAGCATAACCCCAAAAGGATTTAGAAAGCTTTGCTTCACGTATTAGAGCTCGGGCCTTCTCTAAAAGATATCTGTTGGCTCTCTCAGCCACACCATTCAAAGGAGGTGAATATGGAAGGAGCAGGATCTATCATAACACCATTTTTCTTGCAATAACGAGCTAGTTCACCAGACACGTATTCCTTGGCATTATCACACCGAATTTTGTAGACATCAGAATTCTGCTTTAGGAACAATTTAAACACTTCATTTATGTCACTCTTGTGCTTTAAGAGATGCACTTCAGTAAATCTAGAAAAATCGTCTATGATTGTAGCAAAATACTTTTCACCTTCCCTAGTGGGTGGATCAATGGGACCACATATGTCAGTGTGTACCATTCTCATCGGCACATGCTCTCTGCTTCTAGGACCTTTGTTCATAGGAGTGTTGGAATGTTTTGCTAGTATGCACTCTTCACAAAAGCTTGATGGTGACTCAGATACTGGCAAACCCATTTCTTTTAATACTTTATCAGATGAGTGCCCCATTCGCCTGTGCCATAATTCTGCACTATGATTTGCAAATGTATGTTGAAGCTTTAACAGGTTCAAATTGACTCACATACTGTCCTTTCTCATTGAGTTTAGCAAACTCAAATTTTTCATTCCTCTTTTCAATAACAGCTACATGATTCTTAAAAATTACACTGTAACCTGCTTTTTGCATATTCTTCACAGATATTAATTGAACCGTTCAACTTCAGGCACATATAACACATCTTTAAGTAATATTTCTCTTCCATTTAATGTTCCAGGTACTGTACCAATACCTTCTACCTTTAAAACATCATTTTTTCGAAGCACATGCAACAGTTCCAGAAAAAGGTTTAATTTCTTCAAACCACTCACCTTTATTACACATGTGTGTAGATGCTCCAGAATCCAGAATGAAATTTCCAACAGGCTCGCCAACCATGAATGTTACTGTAGCCGATTCTCTGTAATCTGATTTATGCTTAAATCTGCAATCCTTCCTGTAATAATGCCCTGGGCGTCCACATCCAAAACAAACTAATTTTTTCTTGCAAAGCTAGGCAATATGACCTTTACTTTTACATTTGTGGCAGATGATATCACGCTTATCAGCGCTAAAAGCTACGTTATTACTTGAGCCAGAAACACGAGAATCGTAAGAATTTCTCTCACCTTGCAATTCTTCAGCAATTCAAGAGCCTTTGCATAACAAAGTCCAGCGTAAGCATTTCATTTGGCTGGTTCTCAATCGTCGATTTAATAATGTCGTACTCAGCAGGTAGCGACATCAACAAATAAATAATCACATCCATATCTTTGACTTCAGCACCCGAGAGTTGCAGTTCATTTACGATCGCCAACAGTTCGTTTAATATGTGACTGCATACTGCAATCTCGGCGTTTCTTCAGTGTCGATAATTTCTTTCGTACTAATATTTGACTAACTGCACTCACCTTATGGTATTTATTCTTTAAACTGCTCCAAATTTCACATGCAGAAGATTCACTCGACATGGTCGCCAATATGGCATCATCTAGAAGGGTTAGCAGCAATGCGTAAGCCTTTTTTGCATCTTTGATTTCAGCAACTTTCGTTTCATCCGCTTCAACGTCTAAATATTTATCAAGTTCTTTGGCTGCAAACACAGCTTCCAACACGGCGCTTAAACAGAGAAAAGTTTTTACCGTTAAACGGCTCAACACAATACTTTGTGTTCTCATCACGTGCTGCCATTTCAAATTTCACTTAATGCGCGATTCCGTTCCAAACAAGTTCCACAAAACAAATATAAATGCTTCGCCTCTAGCGTGTTCAATATCAGAACCACGCTCTGCTGTAAAGATTTAAAAAAAGGTGAATCAGAGGCCGATGATAATTAAGTAGAGGCTTTATTAAATGATGGAATTTCACGCACATGGAACAGCACGTTTCTACATATCAAACCATGACCAAGAACTACTACAACTGTTGCCAGATCAACCTAAGCAAAAGTATAAAACAGTTACGGTTAAAATACATGACATTAAAACAAGAACGGGGAGTACGTGTGATTATTCTCAATTAATTGCAAGCAAAACAAATCAGCTAACTGATTTTCACTAGAAACATATACGAGATTTATATCGTACAATTTTACAATATACCTAATATACTTTAATTTAATATCCAAATGTTTTAGTCTAGCACAATTACTTTCATTCAATATTGCTTTAATTACAGACTGATTATCCTCATAAACTGAAACTTTAATATTGTCGACTCCTAAAATTTCTTTAGATACATTATGAAATACAGTTAGGTCTTGAATAGCTTTTGCTAAAGCCAAAATTTCTGCCTCAGTAGAGGACAGAGCAATAGATGTTTGCTTTTTAACAGACCAAGTTACAGGACAATCATTAAAGAAAATAATATACCCTGAAATAGATTTTCTATCATTTGTATCTGACCCCCAATCAGCATCAACATAAACATTTAACATAATATCAACACTATTAGATTTACAAAATAATAATTTCAATTCAGATGTCCCTTTTAAATATCGAAGAATTTGCTTCAGACCAGCCCAAGCATTGTTAGTGGGTTGTTCTTGTATCTGACTCAGACAGTTCACAGAAAACAGAATATCAGGACGAGTTGTCATAGACAGATACAGCAAAGCACCTACAAGTTCACGATTAAGGGCCATGAAATCTTTCACCATTCACAAAATTTGATGAAGTTGACTTAGGCACTAGAGGAGTATCAGATGGCTTATAATCTAACATTCTAAATCTATTTAACAATTTTTCAACATAAGACTTTTGGCCTAAAGTAAGTTTGTTCTGTGAATATTCAAAACTTATTCCAAGAAATTCATTTGCAACTTCAGCCTTGGACATCTCAAATTCATTTCTAAGTAATTCAATCACAATTTTTACCTCTGAATCATTAGATCCAGCAATTAGCAAGTCATCCACATACAGCACAATAAATATTTCACTCTGTTTAGTTCTTCTTACAAAAGTACATGCTTCACAGTTAAGTTGTTGGAAGTTTAACAGAATTATAAAATCAGTAAATCTCTTGAACCACTGCCTCGGTGCTTGCTTAAGTCCATAAAGACTCTTAAGAAGCTTGCACACACGACCACTGTTGTCACTGTAGCCCATTGGTTGTTCCATGTAGATTGTTTCTTGGAGATCACCATTCAGAAATGCAGTCTTTACATCTAATGCATAGATTTCAACATTCTTTTGAACAATGATAGCCAGCACAAGTCGAAGTGATGATGTACTAATTACAGGAGCATAGGTCTCAAAGTAATCAATACCTGGCTTCTGTTCAAAGCCACGAGCAACCAATCTAGCTTTGTAAACATTGTTTCGTTTGATGCGCAACACCCATTTACAGGATATTGGCTTTTCATCCTTTGGCAAGTTGACTAAACTCCCACACTTTATTTTTATTAAGAGAAGCTATTTCCTCATCCGTGGCTTTCCTTCATAGGACTTGCTCTTCTGTCGGCAATGACGTTATATCCTCATATGTTACTGTATCAACAGTTGCCACATTAGCTTCATACACAAAGTAATCATTCAACTTTACAGGTAATTTTATATTTCTTCTTTGCCTAGTAATTTCTTCATGACTTTCTTCAAGATTTCTGGATTCTACATCACTTGAATCATATACTACCTCATCTTTAGCAGGATCTTTACTTTCTATGGAAAAATCAT